GGCCGATTGGTCACTGTGCTTCACTCTGAGGGACATGGTCTCTTTTTCAAAGTTAAAATATGAGAAAACAACACCTAAGTATCGGAAAGACTTCACAAGCCGGATCAGAGTGTGTTTCCCATGTGCTCTTGGAATTTTGAGAAAAGTGCCCTGTTTCGTCCGCACAATGTGTCTTCTTTGCATTTTCCCCACCAAGCGCCCTCTCATTCGCATTGTCACCGTGGTCTTTGCAAGATTCACTTCTAGGTTAGCAGATTCAATCAAATCCAGAAGTTGGCCAAATGCAGCCAGCAGGGCAAGAAAGCTCACCTCGTCGTGAAAGGTTTGATGTGAGCATATGTCATCAGCAAAGATGGTGATGCAATGCAATAGAAATTCAGGTGAGATTCTGTGTCCAAAATCCAACATCAAGGCTGAGATGAAGACCGTCCACAAACATGGAGCTGCACGACATCCTTGTCGTATGCCACGTCTGGTTGGCACCGAACGAAAGACACCTCGGTGTTCAAATTCATACCTGGTAGTGTTGTAGACACACTTCAAGAGGGAGATCAAATCAGCTGAAATGTTAAGTTGCTCCATGCTCCGAAAAAGCAGGGTGCGATCAACCATGTCGAATGCCCGAGTAAGATCAAGGCTCAGGGTCATACCACCGGTGAGTGGAGGCATCGGCAGTCCTTGCTTCAAGCAATGGATAACTCAGGACTTCCAATGATTGACGAACAGAACGACAGTGATTTGCTAGTCTGTGTATGGCGTCCTCGGTACCACGGCCTCGAGCATAGGCAAATTGTGGCAGCCTGTTCAACAGAGCTTGAATCTGATGTTGTACAGCTGTAGTGACCAATCCCATTGCTGTCTTACCTGTTGGCTCCAACAAGGCAATTGGGCGAAGTTCAGAGGGATGTTGGCCCTTTTTACCTGGTTTCACTAACATCGCAACAGTTCCAATGCCCCAAGAATCCGGAAACTGCTGTGTGCGGCAACATTCATGAAAGAACGGATCAAGAAATCGAGCAATGGGCTCAGCACCGTACTTCCAAAATGGAGCTGGTGAGAAAGCTGGTGCCAAGGCCTTGTTTGACGGCAGGGAATGCAGTCCATTTTCGAATTCCTGTTGAGTGAATGGCCATGAAAAATCTGCAATACAGGTAGCTGGGATGCCCTCTGAGTACAGATCATGATACCATTGTTGTAGCCAGTCAGCAGCAGCTTCAGGACCCAGGAGTTCACCTTGCGGAGATCGCAGCATGATTCTTTTGGCAGGCTGCTTTGGTGCAAGGGATCTGATATGCTGAAATAGGGTGAAATCATCTTTGGCCTTTTCCGCTTGATCAGCTGCATGAAAGACCTGGTCCAGGCGTTGTTTTCTGGACTTCTTGGCAGCAAGGTGCATGGCTTTGCGTGCCAGAATACGCTTACAGACATGATGCCATGCAGCAAAGAGCCCGGCCAGGTCTGCAGTGTGGATCCGTCGAAGCATCCATGTGTGATCCTGGAAGCGTTTGAATGGTCTTGCATCAGTTCTTGGAGGTCTATCAGGATTGGGTCGCAAATGCACTGAACCGACCTTGATCTGCATAAGATGTTGATGTAGCAATGTTAGATCTGGTTGGTGATCCTGTGCAAGCCCATGGACAGTAGCATGAACAGTGGCCAAAAAGTCATCAAAAACAACGTCCCTATTGAGACAATGCTGATGCAATTGGAGTCGCTGTTGCCTCGTCCATCCCGACGGTAATGATTTGTGAGCAGGAAACCATAGGCGCCTCAGTGAAGTCATCAGAGGTACATGGTAGGCTCCAGTGAGTGGCACCAATGAGAACTCCCTTAGATGTTTGACATCTCTGGCCAGTTGATCTGCATGGGTGCGTCTCGTACATATGTAGTCAATTCTGGAAGTCTGATTACAGAATTCGTAGGTGCCAGCATCATTGGCATTCCAAGTGTTGAGAGCACTCAGGTCAAACTGCAGGAGCAGCTGGTGCCAATGATTAGCATCTGGGTGTCTTGGGCCATGACTCCGATGTTCACCACATTGAAACGTAGGAAACCCCACCGCATTGGATCGCTGATCTGTCGAACAATTAAGATCGCCAGCCAAAACCAAAACATTCTTGGGGGAAAGAGTGTTCAACAAGGCAAAAAGGTGATGCCATACCTGTTGCCTAAGGTCCATGTGAGAAGGAATGCATGTGTACTGATAAACGTTGATCAGATCGATGCAACGATTGTGTCCATGAATGCGTAGTTGAAGCACTCTCCCAGGAACATGTTCATACCATGTTAGTTCAGATGGACTGCAAAGTCGTTTGGAAATCATACATAAAAGTCCAGCCTGTTTTGAGGATGAGCCCGAATGCACCATCATGTACTTCTTCGAGACCCAGTCACGTGTAAATGGCCAGTGTGTTTCCTGAAAGAATAAAATGTCGATTTCTTGATTCTCCAGCCACATCATCAGAAAGTCCCAATGTGATGGTGGTAGACCATTGCAATTCCATGAAAAACAGGTAAAACGCTGTCTCTGTGTTGGCTTAGACGGTGGAACATTCTTGATCTTCTGATTGATTGCCGGAGGTTTGACTGTAGTGCCCAATTGAGTGGCAGTGTACAGTTTGCCTCTGTACCACGTCACGCCGTGTTGTGCTGCTCTGTGAACAGCTCTTTTGTAGCTTCGTTTACATACCTTCCGTGTCATACTGGTCTGAGGTGATTCGTAAATCTTTTTGGGCCCCGGTCCATGAGATTTCGCAGAATCGTATGAATGTTGATGTTCAGAATTCCGATCTGCTCCCATGCCATCCATGGTAATGGCACAACCCTCACCCCTGATTGCACAAGAAGTAGTGTGGCCGTACAAGGAAATCAAAACAAAAATGAGATACACTATGCAAAGCCGTATGTGCAAACCTCGGAATTGGGACCGAGTCACAGTCTGATTCCCAGATCTCAGGTTGAACACGAATGTAGACACAGTAAATGCTGTAGGAATGTCAAATTGGCACCAATGCTCCAAGTTGTATCCAAGGCAACCCAAGGGCACTTTGTCCAGCAGGGGTAAAAGCCACAGCAAAAGCAAGGAGGCAAAGGGCCAAGTCACGCAATAAAATGCAGGGGCCAAAATGACCAGTAGGACAAACCACATTCACTGAATCCTTAGGGTTGAAGAATCCCAATCAAACCAGAGAAACTGTTGCAGTAGCCGTCAGGTCAGAGACGGGAATGTAGTTGGCTGCAGCAGCGAGCTCCCACGATTCCGCGCCAGCGGTTGCCAGCAGCAAACGCTCAAGCGCAGACACAGGCGGGCAGCAATGGCAGTCGAAACTAACTTCGAAGAAGCAGCCTATTAGGTGTCTTCTGACCCTTGAGGGCAGTACTCGCGACTGCAAAGGTGCGTGCGTGCGTGCGTTGCGTGGCGTGCGTGGCGTGGCGTGGCGTGGCGTGGCGTGGCGTGGCGTGGCGTGGCGTGCGTGCGTGCGTGCGTGCGTGCGTGGCGTGGCGTGGCGTGGCGTGGCGTGGCGTGGCGTGGCGCGCGTGGCGTGCGTGGCGGGCGTGGCGGGCGTGGCGTGGCGTGCGGGCGGGGCGGGCGGGGCGGGGCGGGCGGGCGGGCGGGCCGGGCGGGCGGGTCGGGCCGGGCGGGGCCGGGCGGGGCCCCGGGCGGGGCCGGGCGGGGCCGGGCGGGGCCGGGCGGGCCGGCGGGCCGGCTGGCGGGGCGGGGCCGCGGGGGGGGCGGGGCGGGGCGGGGGCGGGCGGGGGGCGTGCGGGCGTGCGTGCGGTGCGTGTTGCGTGCGTGCGTTGGGGTGGGGTGGGGGTGGGGGTGGGCGTGGGCGTGGGCGTGGGCGTGGGCGGGGCGGGTGCGGGGTGCGGGTGCGGGTGCGGGTGCGGGTGCGTGTGCGTGTGTGTGTGGCCAGAATGAGATAAAGATCGTCAGTAGGCCAGAATGTGTGGCGGGAGCCAACCCCTTGCACACTGCAGTCTATGGCAACCCCGGGGCAAAACGAAGGGCAAACGGCTGCCGAGATCACCTAGGTCAGACTGAACTGACCTTGTGCGCGGTTCTCGAGACCGCAAAGGGCTTGTGTGTGTGTGTGTTTTTTTTTTCCACGCTCCTTTTCTGATGTCAGATCCGGCGCACGCCGTCAGCTCTGGTACCTTGCCAGGCCGGTTCTCAACGAGGTGAGAAACTATTGGAGTCCCCCACAGGCTGCTGCGTCATGAACACCATTGGGAAAAGTGTCACGACCAGGCAAGTGCAAAAGTGGCAGCCTGTCATGCGTCTGCAGGCATGTGTGCAGTCTGGCGATAAAGACGCACCAGTGCACAGTGCTGGACGCCGCTTTGGGCAGTGAGAAATCTGGAGTTTTTTTTTATTTTTTATACTGGCCTTCTTGAAACATTGGGCTATTGCCTCTTGGACCAGTGTGTTTTTTTTGGAGAACTGGGGGTACACACTGGGTTTCAGTGGGCGTGTAAAGGAAAGGGGATCTACCAGCGGGGAGCTGGGTGCATTGGGGTCGACGGCTGATGCATGGCCCATCAGCGCGTTTGGCTGTTACAGCCTTTGTGCAAGAGGTTTTTTTTTTTTTTGTCCAGGTGTCATGCTGCACAGGCAATGTGTCCAGTTATGTTCCAAGGCAAGCCATGATCAGAATATCTACTTGGATGGCGCCGGCTAGGCTGGGTGTTGGTGGCAAAGTGCCGGGTCGGTTGCTGCCAAAATGGCACTCTTCGGAATCACCTGCTAGGTATCTGGTTGGCATCGCTGGGCTCAACCCACGCAGGGAGTAGGCCAACTTTGGATGCCTATTGTGAAACGAATCACGGTGAAACAAGTCTAAGCCTCCTAATTTTTTTATTTTTTTTTAATACTGGTCTTCGTGAAACGTTGGGCTTTGCCTCTTGGACCAGTTCTCCTTTTTTTTTTTAACTGGGGATACCTACGGTACACTCCAGGGCACTGGAGGGCTTATGGGCGGTGGAAACATAGGCGGATGCATTCAGGACTGCTGCAAAAGCTTCAGCAGCTGGTCAGGGTTGTGTGCATAACCTGGTGGAGTGGACAGCAGGTCTTCCTCCCAGGCATGCAGATCAATGGCATCTTGTCGACATAGCCAAATGCATGTCACACCTTCTTGGAACTGATTTGGGAGCATGGAGCATGGCCGGGGTGGGCGGTCATCGTCACAGTGCAGCCAAAAGGTGTCAGCATTGTGGTGTCTGACACTGGGCTGTGTGCGCAACAGGGCCTGGTAATGGCCTGTGGCAGCATCCCCTTGGTGTGCGAAGGCAGCAGTCATTTGGTATGGTTCCCATGTGCACTCCAAGCCATCAGCAACAAAAATGGGCACGTCCACTGTCCATCCAAAGAACACCGGCAGATCTGTTTTGCGCAACCTGCCATGTCCTTCATAAATGAATCTGTCCACGTGGACGCATACGACCTCTGGGGCGTGCATGAGGCCAGCACACATGCCCAAGTCATTGTGCCACCGCCTCAGCATGTCAGTCAAGCGTGCAATGCCATCTGTGTTGTGGGATGGGTCCAATTGCAATGTGAGAGGTTGGAACCGATCACTGTGATCATGAACACGCACGCAATCATTTTCCATCAGTCTGCGTTGCCAGTGGCAGCTAAGAAACGATGGTGCAACCCATTGCAACAGCATGCTTGTGAACTCCGCTGAGTCAGCTTGGCCTCTGTTGTCATCCCAATTCATGGTAATACCTTGAAACCAGGGTTAAGCATCCAAATTCAATGGCTGAGGCCTGGGTGTCAGCAGGAGCTCACGAAACAAAGCATGTTGATGTCCCCAATCTGTAATGGTGAAATTGCGTCTGCTCAGGGCCGACCACAAAAAGCAGGTGAAGGCGCTGTTGGCATAGCACATATGGCCCGTGTTGCCAAGTGTCAGCTTTGCAACCTCCTGTCGAAGGGTCACGCGCAACTGATAAGCTATTTGGCCTTGGTTTTCGTCTTCCCCTTGCCGCGTCCTTTGGGTGCCGTCCCCTGGGTGTTGGTCAGCTGTTCCAGCAGCTGCGCTGGTTTGCTGACTTGTTGGTTGTGCTGCTTCAAGCTCAGGCCCATGAGTCCCCATAGGGTGGACTGACTCAGCTGATGAAAGAGTCTCCAAAGATCGTCCTCGCGCATGTTGAGCTGTAGCATCCACGGCACCACACTGGCTTGCGGCCTCAGTGAGTGGAAGCGCATCACATGGTCGTTGTCGGTCAGGAGATCCACCATGAACTGCAGATCCTTCAGGATGCGGCTCATCGGGAGTGGCGCTCGATGGGACTTGGTGAGTTTCTTCTCCGTGTGGCACCATTGTTGGAACGGCCATGATCCGTCCTGGAGGATCACCCCCTTGGATACTGCTACGTCCCACAGCTGGGTCCCCTGGGAGCTCTGGGACAGCTTGATGGCCCTCTGTTGTATCTCCAGGATCAGGTGCTTCAGCAGGTAGGTGCGGAGTGTGGTGGTCTTCTCCGTCATGTCCTTCCATTCCTTGGCTTTCAACGTCAGCAACGGGAGCGCTCCCTCCGCGCTGACTTGGGCAAAGATAACGAAGGAGTCCTGTTTGCGATCCATCTGGATTGCCCGATCGTGTTGAAGGACCACCTTGGCCAGATGATGGATCAGCGTGAGCAGGGCTTTGTTCTGCTGGCTGGGTGGCATTGCGGCCTTGTCGACGCCGACGGGCTCCTGTTTGAGCTTCTTGTTCAGCGGCTCTTCGTCTTTTTCCCGCATGTACTGGCTCGCCTGCATCAGGAGTGGCCCCAGGTGCTGAAAGGACTGCAGAAGTTCCGTGTCCGATTGATCGAGCATCAATTGATCGTCCATGGAGTGGTTGCAGCACTAGGGCAATTTGCTGAAGGACAGGGCAGTTTGAGGCAAAATGTATCTGCAGTTGTTCAGCTCGTTCAGCCGCAGCGTCAGGATCAACCGTGCTGTCATTGAAAAACAACTTGCAGAATTTGCATTGATAGTCCTGTTGTTGTTCCATCTGCATGCATTGAACCAGCTGAAATTTGAGCTGGGCCGCCCACGTACAAGCATCGTGATGATGAATCAGCTGATGTGTCATCAGGGCTGCAGTTGGGAACCAAGCTCCACACAGAGTGCACCAATGCCTGAACATTTGGAGGAGGGCCGGGGCATGCCACAGGTGACTGAAATCTCTGTCCAATACCACATTCAGCAGCATCTGAAAACGCGCATGGTTGGCCAATGCACGATGAGTGAGTCTCAGGGTTTGCTCATTGTATTGCTGTGGTATGAACATCTCTGTTTCACTGGTGTAGAAAATCATGGCCATCTGTCGAACTCCTGGGCATATGTGGGACCTGCTATCGTCGTTGATCGATGGATTGCACATGCAACCATGGCTGCTGATCAGGGTTTGGAGCAGGTACCTGACCATGTCATTGGCTCTTTGCCAGAGCTGCCCATGTGCCTGTTGGAGATGCGCGCTGAGATCATTGGATCGCACATAGACTTCACCGCATAGCTGGCAATGCAGCGTCAGCTGTAACCGCTGGTGAGCTGAGAGATGTTGTTTGTCCAAAAACCCAAGTGTCAGCTGAGTGCGCCACTTGTCTGCCGCATTGAGAGGATGGTTTGTGGCTGCTGGATCGAAAAATTCACATTTGCCAGTAATAATGTGAGTTCTCAATCCCTCACGAGAGGTGAATGGTTTGCCACAGTGAGAGCATGCTGTGGAGCCCGGTACTGAGTCTCTGGCAAAGTTCCAGTCGAAGACGGTCACATCATGTTCAGCCTTCAAATGTCGATGCAAGCTCTGAAGGTCATCGCATCTGGTTTGGCACAGCTCACACCTAAGGACACGGTCTGTATCCACATCGGAAGTCTGGCAATGCAGTAGCAGTGCAGCTATCTGGGTGAACACTGTGCATGTGTGTCCATGCATGAACTCCCGTTGGCAGAGAACACACGGGCTGGGGGATCTCAAGACCTTGGTCAGCTGAGCGCTTTTTGCAAAAATACCAGTCACTACATCAGAATGGTGGAGCCGATAATGACCATGAAGTTCCTGGCAGCGATTGTTCCATATGCCGCAGATCATACAGTGGTGAGTCAGATACTGGCCAATGTCAGGATGTTCCTGTAGTCGGTGCCATGACTGCTCTTGGATGATCTGTTTCAGGACCGGCCAAAATGGCTGTGCTGTGACCTGGAAACTGTTTCTTTCGGCCCGATTGCTACTGAGCACGGGTGCGGCTGGTGCAGCTGTGCTAGGCGGCTCATTTGCCTGGCAACAAGAGCGTTCCACATGGATAAGAAAGCTTCTCCAGGTGGTGAAGTGTTTGTGACAGCGTTTGCACTGAGCTCTGCCATGTAAGGACATTTCCAATATGGTATTGGGTGTAGTGCGATATTGTGCCATGTTATGTGCAACAGTATGATGCCGTCTAAGATTGGGAATGGTGTTGGTGATGAAACTGCAATGTGAGCATATGTACTGCACCTGTGGCGTCCTCATCAAGGCGTCTCCATCGATGGGGACTTCCGGCATGCTGCCATGGACCTGATCAATCAAACGCATTGTGTCGTGATGGTGCTGCCAATCCACCTGCTGGAGAAAATCTGTCGAGTCCAGCTGCAGAGCACGCCTCTGAAGTCTCAGCCATAGCTTCTCGGCGCCATGCTTCAGAAGCTGCACGGGAAGTGGAAGAGATTGATTCTGTATGGCCCTCTGGTGTGTGTTCCCTGTCATGTAGGAGTGGTCACCAATCAGAAGTCGAATCATTTGAAATATTGTAAGCTGATAATCAGTGAGTGACTGTACTGTGACTCCTGTACCGAAGATGCCATATGTAAGGATTGTATGGACACAAGTGTGCCAGAGATATACTCGATGAGATTGTCGAATCTGTCTGTGACGGAGCCAGCGTTTCAGTCGAGCATATGCAATCCAGGCTGTCTTCTTGCGATGAAGCCACGTCTGTTGTTCGAAAGCATGATAAGAAACAATCACACCCAGATATCGACCCATGGTTTTCAGCGGTAGCGCCGTAGCTTCTCCAGTGCAACACGGTAGCAGCAGGTGTGCTTGATGCTGTAGATAGCACAGCCGGCCTTTGAGCGCATGCCGCACGTTGCTGCCAGTGTGGGAAAAAATCAAATAGGACTTTTGCAAGGAGATCTGCAGTTTGAGTCTTTCAATGCAATCAAGCAAATGGCCCATGCATCGCAAATGGTGGTCCAGTGCACCAACGGTCAAAAACTGGCAGCCTACATGCAAATCGTCCGCGTACAATGTCAAGCATTGTCTGATCCATTCTTCACCGGTCAAGGGCGTGAGGAGCCAAAGCAGTTTGTTCATGTAGGTCAGCCACAATAGGGGGGCAATTTTACATCCTTGTCTGAGGCCTACACCTACAGGGACAGAATCCGTATTTTGTTGAAATGGCAGGTTGTAATGAGTGTTTTCGTGCCAGCATGTTATGAGGGTGAGGAGATCGTGGGGTGTGTTAAGTTCATGGAGATGTTCAATGAGAATGGATCTGTCAACACAATCGAAGGCACGGGTCAGGTCAAGCAGTAACTGCACTCCTCCCAGCAACGTCGACATGGGAGGAGAACGCATTTGGTGATGAACCGACCTGCGGTGATTGCCTACCAGCGCTCTAATCTGCCTACAATGACTGCTCACCCTGGCAATGGCATCAGCTGCTGATCTCATGTGTAGGAATCCAAAATGGGGTGACTGACATAGAGTGTGGGAAAGATGGCATTTAAGTTGATACGTCAGAAGTCCCATCACCAGTTTCCCCAATGGTTCCATGAGGGAAATAGGCCTGAGTTGATCGGGGCTACCACATGACTTACCCGGTTTCGGGATGAAATAAATCCAAGAGTCCTTCCAACTTCGGGGAATGAAGGGAGGGTATTGACCCCACCATGTTGTCAGGGTGCGGTACAAGAAATCAGCAACCTGCAGGCTAGAGCCTTTCCACACGGTGGCTGGCAGGAAAGGCATTGCCGCTGCTTTATGCGGGTGCAGGTTCTGCAAAGCCGTGCAGAGGTCTGAAATGGAAAAAGGCACTCCCGGGGCTGTATCACTGAAATGTGGCAGGCTGGAAGGTCCCTGCCACGTGGTTCGCACATAGGCAACGGTCAGTGAATGCGCCGTGTATTGGTCTGCAATTTTCCCATCAGGTGTACGCAAACGTGGCTTGGCACATGATTTTTTGGGGGTAAACTTGTTGAGGATAGTGAACATGCCATGAGCATCATGTCTGTCTGCTGCCTGCTGAACCTGCTGACATAAGTCATTAAAACGTTTGGCTCTGGCCTGTCTGGCCTCTTTCTGATGGGCACGCTGAGCAGAGATGAATCGTCCCCAATGGTACCAAGTCCGAAAAATGGCCTGCAGTGTCGGTTGGGTATTCATGGCAACTGTCTGTTGGATTACTCTCTTATGCTGCCATTTGGTCTGGACCATGTTATGAAAATCATCATAATCGACTGGCTGTATCGGAGATTTCTTTCCTGGAAAAAGGTCTTGAAAAATGGGGATTACACTCTGATGTAGGGTCGTAATGACCTGTTCAGGGTCTTGCATTGGGTCCATAGGCGCCTCAGTGACTTGGTCAACAGCCGATGTGAGTGCCCTCCATTGGTCAGAATCCTGAAGTTGGGCCATCCTGCATTGGGCTCTTTGCGCAAAGGTGCAAGCCTTGATCATGCGGTGAACCTGATATGCCATGTGAATACGTCTCACTGAACCAACAATGGGGATGTGATGAGTGGTATTAAGTGGCAAAAACTCAGCGTGTTTGAGATATACTGGTGCTTTGGCTTGTCCGTCGCATGCATGTAGTCTCATGAGCATGAAATCAATCCTGGAGGCAACCAATCCATGATGGTATGTCGGTCCTGTGGTCTCCATCCAGGTGTTGAGTGCAGTCAGAGAATGCATTCTCAGGAAATCCAAAAAGTGATGCATGTCGTCGTGCTGTGATCCACATGTTCTGGACCCTTTCCAGTGAAAGTGGCCGGTCCCCGTCCAAGGAGCAAGGCCCGGCAGGGCTGTGTTGAAATCGCCGCTGCAAATGAACTGATTACGCTGTGGAAGCTGTCCTACATAGTCATTCAGTTTGGCCCACAAGTCGGCCCTCAGTTTGCGGGATTGGGTGGTCTTGTGGTCTACATGCTGATAGACCGCCAGGATGTCAATGGCCCTCTTTGTCTGATGCAAACGTACGTGCAATAGTCTGCCATCTTCCAATGCTTGAAAGCCGATGGAGTCCGGTGGCCCCAGACTTCTGGCGATCATGATCAGCACCCCTCCTGAGCGGGGTTCTTTTGTTGCTGAGTGCACATATGACCATTGTGCGTCTGACCAGCAGGAATTGAAGCTCCACTTCGTCTCCGATAGCACCACAATGTCTATTGGTTGATGGCTCAGCCAGTACTTCAGTTCCAAAAAGGAACTCTGGGAGAGTCCTCCAGGGTTCCATTGCATCACCCTGAGTCGCTGGGATTGGTCCTTGTGGGAGCACCAATTGTGTGATGTCGGTGCCGCTTTTTGTACGGATTCACATTTGTTGATCAAAGTCTGAGGAAAATGTTCCATTGTGTATGCTTGTCCTCGAAACCATGCCATGCCATGTTGTATTGCACGCTTGCATGCTCGTTGGAAGCTTCTCTTCTGTATCTTAGTGCAGCGCGTGTTGGGGACCTGCATTGGTGGGCCGGAGCCCATTGTCGGCGGTTGTCCACAATTTGCTGTCTGTGTCAAAATTGGCAACCAATGGATTGCTTCACCTGCCCCTGTGGTTTGGCAGGAACCCTCACCCTTACGTCCTGTGACGTGTATGCCGGGCAGTTCGGTCAGGAGTCTCTGACGTTCAGTGAGCTTGGAGTGCTCCGGCATGTCTGCTAAAATACAGGACGTACCCGGATTTGGGACCGGGTTGAGGTCGTCGAGAACTAATCGTTGTAACCAGGTGATCAATATCCAAACAAAAATGTGCATTGTGTCCAGTTGTTGCAACCAATAGGAGAATGATCACCACAAGGGCAAAACGTTGGCCAGCAGGGGTGATTCAATCTGTCGACACTAGCACCAGGGGACAATCAGTGTGGGTGCCCCAGCCCAGCCTGCAATCCAAATGAGATAAAGATCGTCAGTAGGCCAGAATGTGTGGCGGGAGCCAACCCCTTGCACACTGCAGTCTATGGCAACCCCGGGGCAAAACGAAGGGCAAACGGCTGCCGAGATCACCTAGGTCAGACTGAACTGACCTTGTGCGCGGTTCTCGAGACCGCAAAGGGCTTGTGTGTGTGTTTTTTTCTCACACACCTTTTTATGTCTGCAAAGGTTCGTGCCAGCCTTCGGCATATTGCCGGTTCCAAATCGGAAACTGTTAGGCTGATCCAAATTGCATACCTCGCTACTTCTCGATTTTGTGCAGTGTCATCCTTGCTGCAGTCATTGGAAAAATTGAAGGTCAGGAAATAAAAAAGTTTTCATTCACATCGCATCGTGTTGGAGGGCACATTCAATGAAATCAGGTGGTTTTGTCTTCCTTACTGAGCAGTTGCAAAAGTTGGGTCATTGCATCCGGGCGCTCAGTGTCAGCTGTGGCAATGTGTGGAGCCAGCTGGAGCAAAGGCAAATAGATGCAGTCTGATCGGACAAACCAAGCGACAGTGAGGTTTCGACTGAGTAAGTCAGGGACCTCCCAGCTGGGATACGCTTGAACATTGTCCTGGGTGATCAGCCATTGCACAGGCCGTGCAGGTTCCAGGATAGCAGGTCGCATCCTGAGAAATGCCTGGTAATGCCCTGCAGCATCTATGCCCAAGTGCGCAGCGCCAGCAACAAGAATGTACTGGACATTGGCACATTGCAAACATGCATCACTGAAAATTGGAAAACGTGTGTCTGATTCCAAATTGAAGGCGCAACTGCTTTTCTCAATCCGGCTGGTTGGTGCAGAAATCAGCCTGTCCACATGAACGCACAATACCGGTGCTGCTTGGAGAAGGGCAGCACGCATGCCGTCCGCCTGGTGCCAGGTATTGATCAGCTGCTGAAAAGTGCAAGTGTCATGTAATGCAAGCTCAGGAGTGAATTGCAAAAACAAGGGCATGTCATGGTGTCCAGTGTCATGGCTGCGCACACAATTGCTTGTTTCAAACCATGCAACGCCAGTCAGCAAAATTGTCTGATCGGAGCTGGTGGAAATGAAATGGTGCAGCGACTCAAAATGCGGTCCCCATTGAGAAATGTCAGGGCATTGCTGGCACAACAACGTCCATAGCAAGCAATAGGTCATGGAATTGGCAAAGCACCAATTGGAATCATTGCCCAACACCAGCAAAGCCATCTTGTAAAAGAGCCCATGGTGATCCTCTTGAGCTAGGTATCGGGGACTTTGTTTTTCCCCTTGGACTTGCCAGCTCCCTTTCCTCTCCCTTGACCCTTCGGCAGAAGGCTCTGGACCGTCTTGGCAAGGTTGCTCGGTTGGGTCGAGTGAGGTTTCAATGTCGTCCCTGCCAAGAGCCACACCGCTGAGTGGGTCAGCGTCATCATCAGGTCGTATGGCCTGTTGTACCTCAGGTTCAGCTGCAGCTTCCATGGCACTGTCACCTGTGGGGTGCTGGTGGAGAGCCCCTGGAATCTCAGGACCAAGGCTGGATCGCGGAAGTCCTCCACCAGCTCCGTCAAGTGCTCCAGCATCTTGGGCATGGAAACTGATTTCTTCTTGTCGATCACTAGCTGCTTCTTGGTCTGGTCCCAACGGAGGTACGGCCAGCTCATGTCTTCCAGGATCAAGTTCTTGTCCCGGCACAGCTTGAACAGGGGCTCGTCCGGCTTGCTCTGGGACACTTTGGTTGTTCTGGTCAGCAAGTCCTGGAGAAAGAATTGGCACAGGTGTTGTCTGAGCGGTGTCATTGGGGCATCCGGCTCCAGCTGGCGCTGCTGTTGCCATTTCTGTGTCTCCTGGAGGAGGGCATGAATCGATCCCTCTTTGTCCTGCTGGAAAAACAGTATGAAAGAGTCTGTGCTTTGCAGCAAGCTCAAGCTGCGCTCTTGTCGTAAGACTAACTGGCCTAGGGCTTGGAGGAATGGCAGCAGGCTCTGGTGCTCTGCCGCGGCCTGACCTGGATCGGTCTGTCCTGGCTGGGTCCTTTCGTCTGTTCTGCGTTGCTTCGCAGCTCTCGGGTTTGGGGGCAATTTCAGGCTGGTGTCCAGGTGCGGGAGCAGGAACTGGAAAGTCTCCCTGATTTGGGCTTGAGAGCTCTGATCCAAGCCAGTCATAGCCAAGTCTCCCTCCATTCAGGGCGGTGGCCAACAGGACTGAGCTTTGCAGGATCACAGGGCAATTGCCTCGCAAATGTTCTTGGACCAAAACAGCTCTGGGTGCTGTTGGTTCAGTTGGCTCTTGATCAGGCGGCAGGTTGAAAATCTGGCTGCAGAGGTCGCACTTGTGGTCAAATTGCAATGTCTTGGCAATTGCAGGCACCAAAGTGTCAAAGTAGAATTCCACAAAACGGTGGCCACACATGTGAGCCTCATGAATATGTCTGCACAGCAGGCCCGCAGAGAGGTCTTGACCGCATTGGGTGCATGTCCGGCTCAAGAACTTGGTCACCTCAGGGTCACTCCAGAGTTCTTTGAAATCTCGATCTGCAAAAATTCTGCATACATGAAAGCGCATCTCTTTGCTGATTGAACTGTGCAACATCTGATTGAGGACCTGATCAGTGAGCTGAACTGGCATGAATGGGATGCTGTCCAATCGGTAATACATCATCGAGATCTGCCTCAGCGGCAAGCAAATGTGGTTTTGACGCAACTGGCTGATCTGGGGGTTGCACATGCAACCATATCGTGAGAAAACCAGGTCAACTAACATCAAGGTCAAATGTTGTGCCTGCCTCCACAATCTGGAGTGGTTGGACATCAGGTGATTGGCAAGGTCTCCAGCCCTCTGATAGGCCTGTTTGCATTGGGTGCATCGGATGGTCATGTGCAGGCGATCCATGGGTGCACGGAGATGTTCATACATTTTCCCATGCAAGCAAATGTCCAGCCAGGCCTGACTGATGGGAGCCACTTCTGTAGCTGCTTGGGAGTCAAAGCAACTGCATCTGCCCTGGGTTATATGACTGCGTAAACTCTCCATTGAGGAGAACGCAGCTCCACAGTGTGCACAAATTGCCTCGGCATTCAGGCTGTCTCTTGCGGCATTAAAGGTAAATCCCGTCAACCTGTGCTCAGCTTGCAAGTGTGTCATCAGCTGAGTGACATCAGGGAAAGGCATCAGGCAGATGTCACAACGCGCAACAGCCGCAGGCTGGCTGCTTTCTGTGGCATGAAGTCCTCCACCGTGAAGTAACAGGACTGAGATTTGAGTCCAAACTGGGCACTGGTGAGTTTTGAAGCATCCTCCGCAATGCGGGCATGGTGTTTCAGAACTATGTAGATTTGTGAGCACCTTTGATTTCTGCGGTACGCAAGTCCAGTATGCAGCATGCTCTGTACGAAAATGCAAATGGACGTCCTGCGTCCGGTTCAGGTGCTGCCCACATAAGCAGCAAAACTTGGAGAGATATCCACAGGCCTCATGTTCGGTCTCAAGCTGGTCCAATTGATCATCAGCTATGATTTGCAGCACACGATTGCCCCAAGGTTTACTTTTGAGCAAGGCCAAGGATTCTGCAGTCAACATGGTGGTGCCTCGCATTGATACGTCCACACGCTGCTGGCTGAGCGTTGGCATGGTCAAGGCAGCAGGGATGCCCGTGCAGCGATCTGGTCCAAGAAGGATGGCCTGGCAACCGCGCTCAATGTGCACACGAAAACTGCGCCAAGTTGAAAAACAATGTCCACAGTGTTTGCATTTTGGGAGGCCATCAGTGGTATAAGAATGCAGCGGGTGTGCAAAAATCCTAAACATTGATAGGCCATGTGATGTCGTGCAGTGTCTCCTGAAGGCAGCAACAGAATTGGTGCAAAAATCACACATGTTACAAAAGTGGCATGGGCTAAAATCAGGTGCCTCACCGGAGAGAGCAGTCTCAACACGATGCAAGGAATGGGCAGCCTGAGCTTGCATGATGCTGGCATGCATGGGCTCAAGATGTTTCCAATCCAGTTGCAAGGCAACATCAGTAGTGTCAAGCATCAGTTCACGCTGGGCAAGGGACCGTTGCAAGGTTGCAACAGCCGTCGTCAGGATGTCAGCTGGGCGCGGCAAATTGAAAGTTTCAAAAACCTGAACATTGGTGTTTCCTGTACGGTGGGCATGGTCACCAACAATGCGTCGTAGCATAGTGCTGAGTTGTGTCAGCATGTGTTTGATGCCTTTGTCGGTTATCCCTACAGCAAAAACTCCATAGGTCAGGATTGGAACAATGCATGTGCGCCACAAGCCAAGCCGATGTTGCAATGAAAAATGATGCTTGTTGCAGAGCCAACGACGGAGGCGCAGGAATCCAATGTGGGCCAACTTGACTCTGTGCCATGTCGTGGTGTCTTCAAGGTTGTGATAGCTCATGATGCATCCAAGGTATGGTGCCGTCTCTTTGATGGGAATCAAAACTGGTGGCTGTCCTGGAACAGGAATTTTTAGCATCTCGCCCCGTGTGTCACGCTGCACATGGGAAGCTCGAGTCTTCCGGCTCTTTGGCCCATGCATGGCAAGGAGAGCAACTGATTTGTTTGGGTTCAGTTTCATGTCAAACTCATGGAGCAGGGAAAAAAGGGTTCCAATGGCCTGAAGCAAAAATTCAAATTCTTGGACATTAGTGAAGGTGCCACCAACATGACAATCGTCGGCATAAATGGATAGGTGCTCCTGGATCCAACTTAATGGGATTGTCAATTGCAATTCAAGAAGCATCAGAACGGTCATGCAGTTCCATAAGAACGGGGCCCCTTTACACCCTTGTCTGAGTCCCTTTGCAACCTCAACGTCAACGCTCTCCCCTCCATGCGTGACAATGTAGGGGGTATCAACATGCCAGCACTGCAGGAGTTGGATGATCTGGTCTGTGATGCCCAAGAGATGGAGTTTGTTGAAAAGTTTGACACGATTGATACAATCGAAGGCCTTTTCCAAGTCAATGAAAACCTGTACACACCCACAAATTGACCATCGTGGTGCAGAAATGGCACGGGTATGAGGGGTGGATCTTTGACTCTGAATGAGGCTTCTGGTTTGTCTGCAATGCTTGGCAACAATCATCAAGGGATCTTGCGTCGATCTGGCTCGCATGAACGCCCAGATTGGCCATGGGCGTAATGCAGCATCAGCCTGTCTGGCGGCAATCTGAATTAAGATTCCTAGAATGGATTTTCCAAGTGGACATTGCAGCGCTAATGGCCTCAAATTTTGGGGTCGAGTCGGAGGCTTGTTTGGTTTTGGGATTAATTGCAACCATCCTGATCTCCACTGGCGCGGTATCCAGGGTGGGTTCATCTCCCACCATTTGGCTAATGCTGCATGGAGAGTTGGTGCAATGATCTCCGCAAGTGAATTCCAAACAATTCCAGGAGCGCATGGTGCAGCAGTGGCTTTTTGTGATGGAATCAACTTCAATGCATGCGTCAAGGTCTCAACATCAAAAGGCACTCCAGGAGCTGTGTCGCATGTCATAGGAGTTAAGGCAGGGCCACTCCAGGTTTCTCTTACGTATGCTACCAGCAAGCTACGTTCTTCACATGAGGTCACCAGTGTTCCATCGTCACCTCGCAATTGAACCCGTCTTCTATGAATCTTGGGTGCAAAACGATTGATGATGTCAAAAAGTTTGTGGGTATCATGGTTCTGTGCAGCAAGACTGGCCTGGTGCAAGGTCTCATCAAAGCGTTGGCGTCTGAGAAGCTGAGCATGTTTTCGATGAGACCTGGTAAGTTGTTGAAACCTAGTTGCATGAAACCAAGCTTTGAAAACTCCTGAAAGTGTGCACTTTCGAATAGAATGCAAAATCATGCGATGTTGCCACTTGTTGAGAACATGTTCATTCTGTTGCCAGTGGTTTGGGTTTTTCAAACGGCTCATGGCAGGAAAACAGTTCGAAAAGTGTTTCATGGCTACATCATGGACCGTCTGCAATTCCTTGCAATCTGAGGTGATGACGTTGCTGAGCTGATTCCACACAGCTGGCGCTGCAGCATCCAGAAAATCATGCCAGGCGTCAGCATCATGTTGTTTGGCAATGCGACCCCTCTGTCTTTGATGTGGCGTGAGTCCAAACCGCGGTTGATGAGGCGGTGGTATCCAGTATTTGGCCAAATGACATAAAAGAGGAGCATGACCATGTGGCTGAATAGGCAAAAAGGGGGCATCCCAAAGGCATTGGACAGCTCTGGCCTGCCCATCAGCATGTTGCTGGCGTGTACACATGAAATCAATTCTACTGGCCGCTCCATTCTGTGCAAAGGTGGGAGCTTGTCGTGAGTCCCATGTGTTCAAAGCAACCAAACCAAATTGTCTAAGGATCGACAGGAATCTACCTCCATCTGGATGTCTTGGACCTTGCTTTGGTTTTCCCTGCCACTGAAAAAAGGCCGTGCCACATATTCCAGGAGATTCAGGAAGGCTGCAATTCAGGTCCCCCAGCCCGGCAACTGTGTTCCTGGCAGGAAGCTTCTGTACGGTCTGTTCAAGTGCTTTCCAAAAAGCCTCACGGTGTGGCAAGGATTTGGTGTTGCCGGTGTGCACATACTGGTAACATCCAAGCACATCTACATTGCGTGGGGTCATGAGTATCCTGGTGTGAACCAGGCGTCCTGGAATTATGGCATGCCAGCGCAAATCACTCGCAGCACAGAGCTTGCTGGAAATCAGGATAAGGACTCCAGAGCCTTTGCATGTTTCATCTGCGCTATGTATGTGATGCCAGGCACTATCACTCCACTCACTCTGGAAAGACCATCTGGTTTCAGCTATCACAGCAATTTGGACCTGGCTCATGGTGAGCCATTGTTTCAGCTCGTCCAGGCGGTGGCTGGATAGCCCTCCACAGTTCCATGTTAGGCATGTCAAACGGCGTCGAGGTCCCTGTTTTGCATTGCATGTCTCAAGGTCATGCGGTTTGGGTGTGGGAGGTGGTTGCACAAGGGTGGCATGCCCATACGAATGAAATCTGCAGGTGTCAAACATTTTCCTCTGTACCAGGCAGCTCCCTGTGTCTGAGCTCGGCGTTGAGCACGTTGGAGGCTGCGCTTCACTACTTTCGAGGCTTTGCAATTGGTCAGCTCGGCTGGTGTGCCAGCACACATTGTTGGCTGCGTGCCATGTAGCTTCACGTCACATTGTGAAGTTTTTGCATTGGTCCTACTGGACGTTTCAACATTCCCCATGACTGGAATGTAACCCTCACTCCTACCAGTTCCAAAATCCAAACAGTGCATGTGTCCTACAAACTGTACAACAATGCAGCACAGGAAAAGGAAAAAGAACTGGCACCTGGACTTGGGACCAGGTTTGCGGCGGTTCTTGCACAATTCAGGATCAGCCCTCAAGGTTTCAAATGTCATGGGGGCAAGTGCCCACCCTGCAAAATGATGTAACAGCTCCTCAATTCCAGTCGCACAGCGCTGTAAAATTGCAAAAAGACTAGTGGCTGAACTGAGTGTCAGGGTCCACCAGGGGCAGCTTCCCTGAGCAGACTCAGTGCAGTTGATCTCAGGCTTTGTTTGGATCAATTGGCAATGTATATATCGAAATGGAAAAAATTGAATGAATATCGCAAAACCCAGCAGGTCACGGCAGTAGGCAGTAATGGCGTCAATTGTATTGAGTGCCAAGGCCCCACTGCAGAAAGCCCTGAAAATGAAATCAAACAGTGTAATGTCAAGCACCCAGGTATTCAAAAGGCGTGAGATATCCAGGCGGAAAAGCACAGTCCAGCTGATCCCACCACAGAATGTCAGGTGCGCTGAGGGCACCAACGTAGGTATGTCTTCACCGCTGCAGGATCTCTGAATCTTTGAATCACAACCAGTGTATTGTGTATTAGCCCTGAAAGCCCCACCGCAGAAGGCCAGTCGTGCCGTTTGCACCAAACCCCCACTGCAGAAAGGTCGGTGTGTTCCTGTAAGGTCACACAGTGATGCCAAAATCAGGGTGAAGGTCTCCACAATGAGTGTTGTCAGCAAGATGGCACTGCTCAGCGTAGGCAGGTCTATGCAGCAATGTGTCCAGAAAGTCAGGGGACTGGAGATCTGATAGGGCCCTTGTGGAACCCAAAAGTGCAAAAAGGTGTTCAGTGTCAACCAAGCCCCACTGCAGAAGGCGCCAGTCCAGATGAGCCGCAAAGATTTCGCGCTGTCACAATAATTGTGGTATTTGTTCAAATTAAAAAATATGTTGGGAGCCCCACCGCAGAAGGCCAGTTGTGCGTTAAGCACCAGTGAAAGGATATCCTCACTGCAGAAGGACCGGTGTTGCACTGAAATGTTGTCTTGTTGTACCCAAATTATCCAAGCAATCCTGTAAGCCCCACCGCAGAAGGCCAGTTGTGCCAGAAGCACCAGTGTAGGGGATCCCCCACTGCAGAAGGGTCGGTGTAGCCCTGAAATTATGCACCCCACAGGCCAAAAGAAGGCCACAGATGTAACAGTCACAAGCTTCTGCAAATGTTGCACAAAAAACAAGGATTCTGTCTCAAAGGGACTCAGACAAGGGTGTAAAGGGGCCCCGTTCTTATGGAACTGCATGACCGTTCTGATGCTTCTTGAATTGCAATTGACAATCCCATTAAGTTGGATCCAGGAGCACCTATCCATTTATGCCGACGATTGTCATGTTGGTGGCACCTTCACTAATGTCCAAGAATTTGAATTTTTGCTTCAGGCCATTGGAACCCTTTTTTCCCTGCTCCATGAGTTTGACATGAAACTGAACCCAAACAAATCAGTTGCTCTCCTTGCCATGCATGGGCCAAAGAGCCGGAAGACTCGAGCTTCCCATGTGCAGCGTGACACACGGGGCGAGATGCTAAAAATTCCTGTTCCAGGACAGCCACCAGTTTTGATTCCCATCAAAGAGACGGCACCATACCTTGGATGCATCATGAGCTATCACAACCTTGAAGACACCACGACATGGCACAGAGTCAAGTTGGCCCACATTGGATTCCTGCGCCTCCGTCGTTGGCTCTGCAACAAGCATCATTTTTCATTGCAACATCGGCTTGGCTTGTGGCGCACATGCATTGTTCCAATCCTGACCTATGGAGTTTTTGCTGTAGGGATAACCGACAAAGGCATCAAACACATGCTGACACAACTCAGCACTATGCTACGACGCATTGTTGGTGACCATGCCCACCGTACAGGAAACACCAATGTTCAGGTTTTTGAAACTTTCAATTTGCCGCGCCCAGCTGACATCCTGACGACGGCTGTTGCAACCTTGCAACGGTCCCTTGCCCAGCGTGAACTGATGCTTGACACTACTGATGTTGCCTTGCAACTGGATTGGAAACATCTTGAGCCCATGCATGCCAGCATCATGCAAGCTCAGGCTGCCCATTCCTTGCATCGTGTTGAGACTGCTCTCTCCGGTGAGGCACCTGATTTTAGCCCATGCCACTTTTGTAACATGTGTGATTTTTGCACCAATTCTGTTGCTGCCTTCAGGAGACACTGCACGACATCACATGGCCTATCAATGTTTAGGATTTTTGCACACCCGCTGCATTCTTATACCACTGATGGCCTCCCAAAATGCAAACACTGTGGACATTGTTTTTCAACTTGGCGCAGTTTTCGTGTGCACATTGAGCGCGGTTGCCAGGCCATCCTTCTTGGACCAGATCGCTGCACGGGCATCCCTGCTGCCTTGACCATGCCAACGCTCAGCCAGCAGCGTGTGGACGTATCAATGCGAGGCACCACCATGTTGACTGCAGAATCCTTGGCCTTGCTCAAAAGTAAACCTTGGGGCAATCGTGTGCTGCAAATCATAGCTGATGATCAATTGGACCAGCTTGAGACCGAACATGAGGCCTGTGGATATCTCTCCAAGTTTTGCTGCTTATGTGGGCAGCACCTGAACCGGACGCAGGACGTCCATTTGCATTTTCGTACAGAGCATGCTGCATACTGGACTTGCGTACCGCAGAAATCAAAGGTGCTCACAAATCTACATAGTTCTGAAACACCATGCCCGCATTGCGGAGGATGCTTCAAAACTCACCAGTGCCCAGTTTGGACTCAAATCTCAGTCCTGTTACTTCACGGTGGAGGACTTCATGCCACAGAAAGCAGCCAGCCTGCGGCTGTTGCGCGTTGTGACATCTGCCTGATGCCTTTCCCTGATGTCACTCAGCTGATGACACACTTGCAAGCTGAGCACAGGTTGACGGGATTTACCTTTAATGCCGCAAGAGACAGCCTGAATGCCGAGGCAATTTGTGCACACTGTGGAGCTGCGTTCTCCTCAATGGAGAGTTTACGCAGTCATATAACCCAGGGCAGATGCAGTTGCTTTGACTCCCAAGCAGCTACAGAAGTGGCTCCCATCAGTCAGGCCTGGCTGGACATTTGCTTGCATGGGAAAATGTATGAACATCTCCGTGCACCCATGGATCGCCTGCACATGACCATCCGATGCACCCAATGCAAACAGGCCTATCAGAGGGCTGGAGACCTTGCCAATCACCTGATGTCCAACCACTCCAGATTGTGGAGGCAGGCACAACATTTGACCTTGATGTTAGTTGACCTGGTTTTCTCACGATATGGTTGCATGTGCAACCCCCAGATCAACCAGTTGCGTCAAAACCACATTTGCTTGCCGCTGAGGCAGATCTCGATGATGTATTACCGATTGGACAGCATCCCATTCATGCCAGTTCAGCTCACTGATCAGGTCCTCAATCAGATGTTGCACAGTTCAATCAGCAAAGAGATGCGCTTTCATGTATGCAGAATTTTTGCAGATCGAGATTTCAAAGAACTCTGGAGTGACCCTGAGGTGACCAAGTTCTTGAGCCGGACATGCACCCAATGCGGTCAAGACCTCTCTGCGGGCCTGCTGTGCAGACATATTCATGAGGCTCACATGTGTGGCCACCGTTTTGTGGAATTCTACTTTGACACTTTGGTGCCTGCAATTGCCAAGACATTGCAATTTGACCACAAGTGCGACCTCTGCAGCCAGATTTTCAACCTGCCGCCTGATCAAGAGCCAACTGAACCAACAGCACCCAGAGCTGTTTTGGTCCAAGAACATTTGCGAGGCAATTGCCCTGTGATCCTGCAAAGCTCAGTCCTGTTGGCCACCGCCCTGAATGGAGGGAGACTTGGCTATGACTGGCTTGGATCAGAGCTCTCAAGCCCAAATCAGGGAGACTTTCCAGTTCCTGCTCCCGCACCTGGACACCAGCCTGAAATTGCCCCCAAACCCGAGAGCTGCGAAGCAACGCAGAACAGACGAAAGGACCCAGCCAGGACAGACCGATCCAGGTCAGGCCGCGGCAGAGCACCAGAGCCTGCTGCCATTCCTCCAAGCCCTAGGCCAGTTAGTCTTACGACAAGAGCGCAGCTTGAGCTTGCTGCAAAGCACAGACTCTTTCATACTGTTTTTCCAGCAGGACAAAGAGGGATCGATTCATGCCCTCCTCCAGGAGACACAGAAATGGCAACAGCAGCGCCAGCTGGAGCCGGATGCCCCAATGACACCGCTCAGACAACACCTGTGCCAATTCTTTCTCCAGGACTTGCTGACCAGAACAACCAAAGTGTCCCAGAGCAAGCCGGACGAGCCCCTGTTCAAGCTGTGCCGGGAAAAGAACTTGATCCTGGAAGACATGAGCTGGCCGTACCTCCGTTGGGACCAGACCAAGAAGCAGCTAGTGATCGACAAGAAGAAATCAGTTTCCATGCCCAAGATGCTGGAGCACTTGACGGAGCTGGTGGAGGACTTCCGCGATCCAGCCTTGGTCCTGAGATTCCAGGGGCTCTCCACCAGCACCCCACAGGTGACAGTGCCATGGAAGCTGCAGCTGAACCTGAGGTACAACAGGCCATACGACCTGATGATGACGCTGACCCACTCAGCGGTGTGGCTCTTGGCAGGGACGACATTGAAACCTCACTCGACCCAACCGAGCAACCTTGCCAAGACGGTCCAGAGCCTTCTGCCGAAGGGTCAAGGGAGAGGAAAGGGAGCTGGCAAGTCCAAGGGGAAAAACAAAGTCCCCGATACCTAGCTCAAGAGGATCACCATGGGCTCTTTTACAAGATGGCTTTGCTGGTGTTGGGCAATGATTCCAATTGGTGCTTTGCCAATTCCATGACCTATTGCTTGCTATGGACGTTGTTGTGCCAGCAATGCCCTGACATTTCTCAATGGGGACCGCATTTTGAGTCGCTGCACCATTTCATTTCCACCAGCTCCGATCAGACAATTTTGCTGACTGGCGTTGCATGGTTTGAAACAAGCAATTGTGTGCGCAGCCATGACACTGGACACCATGACATGCCCTTGTTTTTGCAATTCACTCCTGAGCTTGCATTACATGACACTTGCACTTTTCAGCAGCTGATCAATACCTGGCACCAGGCGGACGGCATGCGTGCTGCCCTTCTCCAAGCAGCACCGGTATTGTGCGTTCATGTGGACAGGCTGATTTCTGCACCAACCAGCCGGATTGAGAAAAGCAGTTGCGCCTTCAATTTGGAATCAGACACACGTTTTCCAATTTTCAGTGATGCATGTTTGCAATGTGCCAATGTCCAGTACATTCTTGTTGCTGGCGCTGCGCACTTGGGCATAGATGCTGCAGGGCATTACCAGGCATTTCTCAGGATGCGACCTGCTATCCTGGAACCTGCACGGCCTGTGCAATGGCTGATCACCCAGGACAATGTTCAAGCGTATCCCAGCTGGGAGGTCCCTGACTTACTCAGTCGAAACCTCACTGTCGCTTGGTTTGTCCGATCAGACTGCATCTATTTGCCTTTGCTCCAGCTGGCTCCACACATTGCCACAGCTGACACTGAGCGCCCGGATGCAATGACCCAACTTTTGCAACTGCTCAGTAAGGAAGACAAAACCACCTGATTTCATTGAATGTGCCCTCCAACACGATGCGATGTGAATGAAAACTTTTTTATTTCCTGACCTTCAATTTTTCCAATGACTGCAGCAAGGATGACACTGCACAAAATCGAGAAGTAGCGAGGTATGCAATTTGGATCAGCCTAACAGTTTCCGATTTGGAACCGGCAATATGCCGAAGGCTGGCACGAACCTTTGCAGACATAAAAAGGTGTGTGAGAAAAAAACACACACACAAGCCCTTTGCGGTCTCGAGAACCGCGCACAAGGTCAGTTCAGTCTGACCTAGGTGATCTCGGCAGCCGTTTGCCCTTCGTTTTGCCCCGGGGTTGCCATAGACTGCAGTGTGCAAGGGGTTGGCTCCCGCCACACATTCTGGCCTACTGACGATCTTTATCTCATTTGGATTGCAGGCTGGGCTGGGGCACCCACACTGATTGTCCCCTGGTGCTAGTGTCGACAGATTGAATCACCCCTGCTGGCCAACGTTTTGCCCTTGTGGTGATCATTCTCCTATTGGTTGCAACAACTGGACACAATGCACATTTTTGTTTGGATATTGATCACCTGGTTACAACGATTAGTTCTCGACGACCTCAACCCGGTCCCAAATCCGGGTACGTCCTGTATTTTAGCAGACATGCCGGAGCACTCCAAGCTCACTGAACGTCAGAGACTCCTGACCGAACTGCCCGGCATACACGTCACAGGACGTAAGGGTGAGGGTTCCTGCCAAACCACAGGGGCAGGTGAAGCAATCCATTGGTTGCCAATTTTGACACAGACAGCAAATTGTGGACAACCGCCGACAATGGGCTCCGGCCCACCAATGCAGGTCCCCAACACGCGCTGCACTAAGATACAGAAGAGAAGCTTCCAACGAGCATGCAAGCGTGCAATACAACATGGCATGGCATGGTTTCGAGGACAAGCATACACAATGGAACATTTTCCTCAGACTTTGATCAACAAATGTGAATCCGTACAAAAAGCGGCACCGACATCACACAATTGGTGCTCCCACAAGGACCAATCCCAGCGACTCAGGGTGATGCAATGGAACCCTGGAGGACTCTCCCAGAGTTCCTTTTTGGAACTGAAGTACTGGCTGAGCCATCAACCAATAGACATTGTGGTGCTATCGGAGACGAAGTGGAGCTTCAATTCCTGCTGGTCAGACGCACAATGGTCATATGTGCACTCAGCAACAAAAGAACCCCGCTCAGGAGGGGTGCTGATCATGATCGCCAGAAGTCTGGGGCCACCGGACTCCATCGGCTTTCAAGCATTGGAAGATGGCAGACTATTGCACGTACGTTTGCATCAGACAAAGAGGGCCATTGACATCCTGGCGGTCTATCAGCATGTAGACCACAAGACCACCCAATCCCGCAAACTGAGGGCCGACTTGTGGGCCAAACTGAATGACTATGTAGGACAGCTTCCACAGCGTAATCAGTTCATTTGCAGCGGCGATTTCAACACAGCCCTGCCGGGCCTTGCTCCTTGGACGGGGACCGGCCACTTTCACTGGAAAGGGTCCAGAACATGTGGATCACAGCACGACGACATGCATCACTTTTTGGATTTCCTGAGAATGCATTCTCTGACTGCACTCAACACCTGGATGGAGACCACAGGACCGACATACCATCATGGATTGGTTGCCTCCAGGATTGATTTCATGCTCATGAGACTACATGCATGCGACGGACAAGCCAAAGCACCAGTATATCTCAAACACGCTGAGTTTTTGCCACTTAATACCACTCATCACATCCCCATTGTTGGTTCAGTGAGACGTATTCACATGGCATATCAGGTTCACCGCATGATCAAGGCTTGCACCTTTGCGCAAAGAGCCCAATGCAGGATGGCCCAACTTCAGGATTCTGACCAATGGAGGGCACTCACATCGGCTGTTGACCAAGTCACTGAGGCGCCTATGGACCCAATGCAAGACCCTGAACAGGTCATTACGACCCTACATCAGAGTGTAATCCCCATTTTTCAAGACCTTTTTCCAGGAAAGAAATCTCCGATACAGCCAGTCGATTATGATGATTTTCATAACATGGTCCAGACCAAATGGCAGCATAAGAGAGTAATCCAACAGACAGTTGCCATGAATACCCAACCGACACTGCAGGCCATTTTTCGGACTTGGTACCATTGGGGACGATTCATCTCTGCTCAGCGTGCCCATCAGAAAGAGGCCAGACAGGCCAGAGCCAAACGTTTTAATGACTTATGTCAGCAGGTTCAGCAGGCAGCAGACAGACATGATGCTCATGGCATGTTCACTATCCTCAACAAGTTTACCCCCAAAAAATCATGTGCCAAGCCACGTTTGCGTACACCTGATGGGAAAATTGCAGACCAATACACGGCGCATTCACTGACCGTTGCCTATGTGCGAACCACGTGGCAGGGACCTTCCAGCCTGCCACATTTCAGTGATACAGCCCCGGGAGTGCCTTTTTCCATTTCAGACCTCTGCACGGCTTTGCAGAACCTGCACCCGCATAAAGCAGCGGCAATGCCTTTCCTGCCAGCCACCGTGTGGAAAGGCTCTAGCCTGCAGGTTGCTGATTTCTTGTACCGCACCCTGACAACATGGTGGGGTCAATACCCTCCCTTCATTCCCCGAAGTTGGAAGGACTCTTGGATTTATTTCATCCCGAAACCGGGTAAGTCATGTGGTAGCCCCGATCAACTCAGGCCTATTTCCCTCATGGAACCATTGGGGAAACTGGTGATGGGACTTCTGACGTATCAACTTAAATGCCATCTTTCCCACACTCTATGTCAGTCACCCCATTTTGGATTCCTACACATGAGATCAGCAGCTGATGCCATTGCCAGGGTGAGCAGTCATTGTAGGCAGATTAGAGCGCTGGTAGGCAATCACCGCAGGTCGGTTCATCACCAAATGCGTTCTCCTCCCATGTCGACGTTGCTGGGAGGAGTGCAGTTACTGCTTGACCTGACCCGTGCCTTCGATTGTGTTGACAGATCCATTCTCATTGAACATCTCCATGAACTTAACACACCCCACGATCTCCTCACCCTCATAACATGCTGGCACGAAAACACTCATTACAACCTGCCATTTCAACAAAATACGGATTCTGTCCCTGTAGGTGTAGGCCTCAGACAAGGATGTAAAATTGCCCCCCTATTGTGGCTGACCTACATGAACAAACTGCTTTGGCTCCTCACGCCCTTGACCGGTGAAGAATGGATCAGACAATGCTTGACATTGTACGCGGACGATTTGCATGTAGGCTGCCAGTTTTTGACCGTTGGTGCACTGGACCACCATTTGCGATGCATGGGCCATTTGCTTGATGGCATTGAAAGACTCAAACTGCAGATCTCCTTGCAAAAGTCCTATTTGATTTTTTCCCACACTGGCAGCAACGTGCGGCATGCGCTCAAAGGCCGGCTGTGCTATCTACAGCATCAAGCACACCTGCTGCTACCGCGTTGCACTGGAGAAGCTACGGCGCTACCGCTGAAAACCATGGGTCGATATCTGGGTGTGATTGTTTCTTATCATGCTTTCGAACAACAGACGTGGCTTCATCGCAAGAAGACAGCCTGGATTGCATATGCTCGACTGAAACGCTGGCTCCGTCACAGACAGATTCGACAATCTCATCGAGTATATCTCTGGCACACTTGTGTCCATACAATCCTTACATATGGCATCTTCGGTACAGGAGTCACAGTACAGTCACTCACTGATTATCAGCTTACAATATTTCAAATGATTCGACTTCTGATTGGTGACCACTCCTACATGACAGGGAACACACACCAGAGGGCCATACAGAATCAATCTCTTCCACTTCCCCTGCAGCTTCTGAAGCATGGCGCCGAGAAGCTATGGCTGAGACTTCAGAGGCGTGCTCTGCAGCTGGACTCGACAGATTTTCTCCAGCAGGTGGATTGGCAGCACCATCACGACACAATGCGTTTGATTGATCAGGTCCATGGCAGCATGCCGGAAGTCCCCATCGATGGAGACGCCTTGATGAGGACGCCACAGGTGCAGTACATATGCTCACATTGCAGTTTCATCACCAACACCATTCCCAATCTTAGACGGCATCATACTGTTGCACATAACATGGCACAATATCGCACTACACCCAATACCATATTGGAAATGTCCTTACATGGCAGAGCTCAGTGCAAACGCTGTCACAAACACTTCACCACCTGGAGAAGCTTTCTTATCCATGTGGAACGCTCTTGTTGCCAGGCAAATGAGCCGCCTAGCACAGCTGCACCAGCCGCACCCGTGCTCAGTAGCAATCGGGCCGAAAGAAACAGTTTCCAGGTCACAGCACAGCCATTTTGGCCGGTCCTGAAACAGATCATCCAAGAGCAGTCATGGCACCGACTACAGGAACATCCTGACATTGGCCAGTATCTGACTCACCACTGTATGATCTGCGGCATATGGAACAATCGCTGCCAGGAACTTCATGGTCATTATCGGCTCCACCATTCTGATGTAGTGACTGGTATTTTTGCAAAAAGCGCTCAGCTGACCAAGGTCTTGAGATCCCCCAGCCCGTGTGTTCTCTGCCAACGGGAGTTCATGCATGGACACACATGCACAGTGTTCACCCAGATAGCTGCACTGCTACTGCATTGCCAGACTTCCGATGTGGATACAGACCGTGTCCTTAGGTGTGAGCTGTGCCAAACCAGATGCGATGACCTTCAGAGCTTGCATCGACATTTGAAGGCTGAACATGATGTAACCGTCTTCGACTGGAACTTTGCCAGAGACTCAGTACCGGGCTCCACAGCATGCTCTCACTGTGGCAAACCATTCACCTCTCGTGAGGGATTGAGAACTCACATTATTACTGGCAAATGTGAATTTTTCGATCCAGCAGCCACAAACCATCCTCTCAATGCGGCAGACAAGTGGCGCACTCAGCTGACACTTGGGTTTTTGGACAAACAACATCTCTCAGCTCACCAGCGGTTACAGCTGACGCTGCATTGCCAGCTATGCGGTGAAGTCTATGTGCGATCCAATGATCTCAGCGCGCATCTCCAACAGGCACATGGGCAGCTCTGGCAAAGAGCCAATGACATGGTCAGGTACCTGCTCCAAACCCTGATCAGCAGCCATGGTTGCATGTGCAATCCATCGATCAACGACGATAGCAGGTCCCACATATGCCCAGGAGTTCGACAGATGGCCATGATTTTCTACACCAGTGAAACAGAGATGTTCATACCACAGCAATACAATGAGCAAACCCTGAGACTCACTCATCGTGCATTGGCCAACCATGCGCGTTTTCAGATGCTGCTGAATGTGGTATTGGACAGAGATTTCAGTCACCTGTGGCATGCCCCGGCCCTCCTCCAAATGTTCAGGCATTGGTGCACTCTGTGTGGAGCTTGGTTCCCAACTGCAGCCCTGATGACACATCAGCTGATTCATCATCACGATGCTTGTACGTGGGCGGCCCAGCTCAAATTTCAGCTGGTTCAATGCATGCAGATGGAACAACAACAGGACTATCAATGCAAATTCTGCAAGTTGTTTTTCAATGACAGCACGGTTGATCCTGACGCTGCGGCTGAACGAGCTGAACAACTGCAGATACATTTTGCCTCAAACTGCCCTGTCCTTCAGCAAATTGCCCTAGTGCTGCAACCACTCCATGGACGATCAATTGATGCTCGATCAATCGGACACGGAACTTCTGCAGTCCTTTCAACACCTGGGGCCACTCCTGATGCAGGCGAGCCAGTACATGCGGGAAAAAGACGAAGAGCCGCTGAACAAGAAGCTCAAACAGGAGCCCGTCGGCGTCGACAAGGCCGCAATGCCACCCAGCCAGCAGAACAAAGCCCTGCTCACGCTGATCCATCATCTGGCCAAGGTGGTCCTTCAACACGATCGGGCAATCCAGATGGATCGCAAACAGGACTCCTTCGTTATCTTTGCCCAAGTCAGCGCGGAGGGAGCGCTCCCGTTGCTGACGTTGAAAGCCAAGGAATGGAAGGACATGACGGAGAAGACCACCACACTCCGCACCTACCTGCTGAAGCACCTGATCCTGGAGATACAACAGAGGGCCATCAAGCTGTCCCAGAGCTCCCAGGGGACCCAGCTGTGGGACGTAGCAGTATCCAAGGGGGTGATCCTCCAGGACGGATCATGGCCGTTCCAACAATGGTGCCACACGGAGAAGAAACTCACCAAGTCCCATCGAGCGCCACTCCCGATGAGCCGCATCCTGAAGGATCTGCAGTTCATGGTGGATCTCCTGACCGACAACGACCATGTGATGCGCTTCCACTCACTGAGGCCGCAAGCCAGTGGTGCCGTGGATGCTACAGCTCAACATGCGCGAGGACGATCTTTGGAGACTCTTTCATCAGCTGAGTCAGTCCACCCTATGGGGACTCATGGGCCTGAGCTTGAAGCAGCACAACCAACAAGTCAGCAAACCAGCGCAGCTGCTGGAACAGCTGACCAACACCCAGGGGACGGCACCCAAAGGACGCGGCAAGGGGAAGACGAAAACCAAGGCCAAATAGCTTATCAGTTGCGCGTGACCCTTCGACAGGAGGTTGCAAAGCTGACACTTGGCAACACGGGCCATATGTGCTATGCCAACAGCGCCTTCACCTGCTTTTTGTGGTCGGCCCTGAGCAGACGCAATTTCACCATTACAGATTGGGGACATCAACATGCTTTGTTTCGTGAGCTCCTGCTGACACCCAGGCCTCAGCCATTGAATTTGGATGCTCAACCCTGGTTTCAAGGTATTACCATGAATTGGGATGACAACAGAGGCCAAGCTGACTCAGCGGAGTTCACAAGCATGCTGTTGCAATGGGTTGCACCATCTTTTCTTAGCTGCCACTGGCAACGCAGACTGATGGAAAATGATTGCGTGCGTGTTCATGATCACAGTGATCGGTTCCAACCTCTCACATTGCAATTGGACCCATCCCACAACACAGATGGCATTGCACGCTTGACTGACATGCTGAGGCGGTGGCACAATGACTTGGGCATGTGTGCTGGCCTCATGCACGCCCCAGAGGTCGTATGCGTCCACGTGGACAGATTCATTTATGAAGGACATGGCAGGTTGCGCAAAACAGATCTGCCGGTGTTCTTTGGATGGACAGTGGACGTGCCCATTTTTGTTGCTGATGGCTTGGAGTGCACATGGGAACCATACCAAATGACTGCTGCCTTCGCACACCAAGGGGATGCTGCCACAGGCCATTACCAGGCCCTGTTGCGCACACAGCCCAGTGTCAGACACCACAATGCTGACACCTTTTGGCTGCACTGTGACGATGACCGCCCACCCCGGCCATGCTCCATGCTCCCAAATCAGTTCCAAGAAGTTGTGACATGCATTTGGCTATGTCGACAAGATGCCATTGATCTGCATGCCTGGGAGGAAGACCTGCTGTCCACTCCACCAGGTTATGCACACAACCCTGACCAGCTGCTGAAGCTTTTGCAGCAGTCCTGAATGCATCCGCCTATGTTTCCACCGCCCATAAGCCCTCCAGTGCCCTGGAGTGTACCGTAGGTATCCCCAGTTAAAAAAAAAAGGAGAACTGGTCCAAGAGGCAAAGCCCAACGTTTCACGAAGACCAGTATTTAAAAAAAAAATTAGGAGGCTTAGACTTGTTTCACCGTGATTCGTTTCACAATAGGCATCCAAAGTTGGCCTACTCCCTGCGTGGGTTGAGCCCAGCGATGCCAACCAGATACCTAGCAGGTGATTCCGAAGAGTGCCATTTTGGCAGCAACCGACCCGGCACTTTGCCACCAACACCCAGCCTAGCCGGCGCCATCCAAGTAGATATTCTGATCATGGCTTGCCTTGGAACATAACTGGACACATTGCCTGTGCAGCATGACACCTGGACAAAAAAAAAAACCTCTTGCACAAAGGCTGTAACAGCCAAACGCGCTGATGGGCCATGCATCAGCCGTCGACCCCAATGCACCCAGCTCCCCGCTGGTAGATCCCCTTTCCTTTACACGCCCACTGAAACCCAGTGTGTACCCCCAGTTCTCCCAAAAAAAAACACACTGGTCCAAGAGGCAATAGCCCAATGTTTCAAGAAGGCCAGTATTAAAAAAAAAAACCTCCAGATTTCTCACTGCCCAAAGCGGCGTCCAGCACTGTGCACTGGTGCGTCTTTATCGCCAGACTGCACACATGCCTGCAGACGCATGACAGGCTGCCACTTTTGCACTTGCCTGGTCGTGACACTTTTCCCAATGGTGTTCATGACGCAGCAGCCTGTGGGGGACTCCAATAGTTTCTCACCTCGTTGAGGACCGGCCTGGCAAGGTACCAGAGCTGACGGCGTGCGCCGGATCTGACATCAGAAAAGGAGCGTGGAAAAAAAACACACACACACAAGCCCTTTGCGGTCGCGAGCACCGCACGCAAGTGGTGTGAGGCCACTAGGGGATTCTCTGCAGCTGTTGCCCCCTGTGTAGCTTCGCTCTCCTTCCCAGCCATTGGATCGGACATCCAGCACGCGCCACTGGTCCAGCGGAGTGTTTCCCTTTTTCAGGCCGGGGTGGGCTCCCGATATCATCCCTGGCCCTTGGTTTCCAGATTTTTATTTGGACTTTTTGGCTGTTACACGGGTTGGGCACCCGCACTGACTGACCCATTACAACAGGCCATTGGTGCTTTCCCTTGGATTTTGGTGTCGGCTGCTGACTTCACCTGCTGGACAAAGGTATCCCTTGTGCAGTTCAGTTAGCCGCACCTATGAACTTTTTCGATATAGCATTGGGATTCATCATCACACTACAGGTGCTTGCACACCGCAACCCGGTCCCAAGTCCGGGGATGGCTGATGGTACAACATCTCCCTGCAGACCGACTCAATCCCAAAGAAGAATCTACGAATGTTCGGGGTTCCACCTTCAAAGCCATCAGGGTGAGGGTTACTGTGGCTCCATACCCACAGTGGGAGCAGACAATTGGATTACATCTTTTTGTCAAAGCACTGCAAAACATGGACAACAGCCGCCAATGAGCACTTGCTCGAATCGTCCCACAGCACCGGTTACAGCAGTACAGAGGCCTGCCGCAGAGCGATTTTGAATGGATTTTCACACTATCATGGCCACCGCATGCAAGTGGAGGACTTCCCTCCTGCCTTGGTTCAGAAGCTTCGACCTGAATCCAAACCAGTAAGTTGCTCTCAGCCTCCCAAAGCAGCGGCACCATGCAAAGGTCGATTAACCTGCCCCCATTGGAATCCTGGAGGATTGGCTCAGACAACGTTGGCTGAAATACGGCTCTGGCTGCAACACCACCCAGTGGACATTGTGGTATTAACGGAGACGCGTTGGAGCTTTTCATCCACCTGGAGTGACAAAGCATGGATGTATGTGCATTCGGCTTCAGCTGACTACAAAAGTGGTGGAGTATTGATCATGATCTCCAGACGTTTGGCATGCCCAGAGCAAATTGGCCGTCAGGCCATTGTGGAGGGACGTCTTGTCCATGTCCGAGTGCATTTTGACTCCAGGGCGTTGGACATCTTGGCGATTTACCAGCATGTTGACAACAGGAACAAGATCTCCGCTCAGCAAAGGGAACAGGTATGGGATGCCCTCAATACGGCTCTTGACAAACAGCCTTCCCGCAACAATTTGATTTGCGCAGGAGATTTCAACTGCTCACTGGACTCTCATCCACCGTGGATTGGTACAACCAAATACAAATGGCATGGGAGGATGACCACAGGATCCACCCATCATGACCAGGCACGACTCCAGGGAATTTTGAAGCTGCATGGCCTCACAGCCATCAACACTTGGGGTGCATCAGGAGCCACTTATGTCCATGGGGGTACCACATCCAGGACTGACAATTTTTTAATTAAAATGTTGGCCAGTGACGGCATCTCCAAGCAGGTCCAGTTTTTGACTGACGCAGACTTTGTACCTGCCAACAGCACACATCACATACCCATCCTTTGTAATATCAGAGCCAAGCACATGGCATATCAGACATATGATCGACCCACATCATGCACCTTCCTGCAACGATCCAAGTGTAGGATTGCCGGACTTCAGGAGACCCAGGCATGGCACGACTTACGACAGCAAGTTGTGGAAGCAGTTCATGCGGACCACCAGGCCCTATCCCCAGCAGCTCTCATTCACAAAATACATGATCAGGTCTCTATTGCGTTTCACCAATTTTTCTCCCCCAAGAACCCCCCTGTGTCTCAGGCAGATCTTTCCGTGGTTCATCACACAATTGTAGACAAATGGCATTTCAAGAAGCAGTTGCGATCTCTTGTACAGACGGGTAGAGTGAACTTGCTCACGATAATGCAGGCATGGCATCATCGCAGCCGATACCAAGTGCTCCAGCGCACACAACAGAAGGCCCTCCGACAGGCCCGAAAGGAACAGTTTCAAGCGTTGTGCCATGAGGTATCTAATGCAGCCCATGTCCATGACACACACTCCATGTTCAACATCATCAACCGCTTCGCGCCCAAACGTCCATTGGCACGGGCACGGCTTAGGGGACCAGATGGCACTATTGCCGATCAATACATGGCACATTCCCTCACAGTGGCCTTTGTGAAACAGATGTGGCAAGGCCCCAGCCGCCTGCCAACATTCTTTGCAGCACCACCGGGGATTCCCTTTGAGTTAGATGAGTTGGTTGAAGCGGTGGCAAAGGTCCACACCAACAAGTCAGTTGCACAGCCTTTCCTACCAGGGGTTGTCTGGCGCAGTGCTCCTTGGGAAGTTGCCAGCTTTGTTTATAGTCTCCTCCAAGACTGGTGGTCCCAATCACCCCCAATCATTCCCAAAAATTGGAAGGACTCTTGGTTATTTTTCCTCCCCAAACCGGGAAAACCCAATACACACCCCGACCAATTACGACCCATTTCACTTATGGAGCCGTTGGGGAAAATAGTCATGGGGCTGATCACCACCAAAATCAAAGCTTGTATCTTTCCCCAGTTGAATCAATTCCCGCAGTTTGGTTTTCTACCGTACCGTGCTGCAACTGACGCGATCCTGCGGGTTTCACACCATAGTAGGAGTGTCCGGGAGATGGTGGCTGCTCATCGACGTACCACCAAGAACCAGATTGCCAACCAAGCCAAACTCACCATTTGTGGAGGACTCTCATTGTTTCTGGACTTGAACCGGGCATTCGACAGTGCAGACAGGCGTGCCATTTTTGAACATCTCATCCAATTAGGCACTCCGCCCAATTTGGTGCAGTTGGCAGCCAGCTGGCATGAAGACACTCATTACAACCTTTCATTCAGAGGTGCCACCACATCAGTCCCTGTAGGGAAAGGCCTACGACAAGGATGTAAACTGGCCCCCCTGTTGTGGGTGAGTTTCATGGATCTTTTGCTGAGACAGGTCGCCCAAATCACTGGCTATCAATGGGTACATGATTGCTTGACAATCTACGCAGACGACGTGCATGTAGGTTGCCTGTACCGATCCAAACATGAACTTCACACTCATTTGGTGAACATTGGCCATACCCTAGATGTGATTGAGAACATGAAGCTGTCTCTGTCTTACTCCAAGTCCCACATGCTGATTGCCTATGCTGGCACAAATGCACGGGTAGCTCTCAAAGGCGTTTTGCAAAGAACGCCCACGGGCGCCAGCATCCGTGTGCCCCGCCTGGGAAGAGAACATACCTGCTTGCCGCTGCGCAGTAAGGGATCTTACCTTGGTGTTTGCATCAGCTATCATGCCTTTGAACTACAGACTTGGAACCATCGCAAACAAGCCAGCTGGTTAGCATTTGCCCGGTTGCGTGCATGGCTCAGAAGCAGACAATTGACGCGTGCCCATCGCATGTACTTGTGGAAGACTTGTGTGTTTACGGTGCTAACCTATGGTCTACTAGCCACCAATGTGACCATACCAGTCCTTCTCGACTTTCAGGGCACTGTATACAAAATGGTCCGCACAGTGCTACAAGACCATTCGTATATTACGCACACCACACATCAAGCTGCATTCCAACAGCATCGGATCGATCCCCCGCTTGAGATGCTTCGAGCCCTTGCCATGGGCCTGCTGCAACGCATCCAGAGGCGTGCAACCATTTTGAGCCCTAATGATTTTTTGCATCATTTGGACTGGAACCAGCTTCACGATCTCTTGCATCTCATTCATAGTATGCAAGTGCATGCACCGGAGGTGCCCATAAGTGCCAGCCCGGACGATCCGATCCGAGTCCAGGCACGTCAGCAATGTCCTCACTGCCACTTTGCCACAGATTCCATTCCCAATTTGCGCAGACACTTGACCACACACCATGCCAGTCCCCAATACCGCACGATCTCCACATCCCCAATTGCAGTGACACTTAATGGTAAACCCCAATGTAACAATTGTCACTTTACTTTTTCCTCATGGAAAGCCTTTATTGTTCATGTTCAACGAGCTTGCTGCCAGGTGCCTCCCATGATGCCCACATCGCCCACAGATGTACGGCTCACGCCAATGCCAGCCAGAGATCATGTGTATCGGCACTTTCAGGTGTCAACACAGCCGTTCTGGCCTGAGTTAGAGCGTTGCCTACACAACGATGATTGGCCCACCCTTTGCCAGCTGTCGGTGGGTTTGGAACATCTCACACACCACTGCGCCATATGTGGTACATGGTGCAACAGGTTTCAGGAATTGCACAGCCACTACCGCCTCTATCATGATGAACAGTTGAAGGGTGGAGTTGTCAAAGGGGCCCAACTCACGCATGTGATGCAACTGGTCTCACCGTGTGCTCTGTGCGCCAAGCAGTACAGCAGGGTCCATAGCTGTCCAGTGACGTTCCAGCTTGGCATTCTCAGGCTTCAGCTACAGGAACCAGACATCCGTGCTCAGCAGGAACTGACATGTGAAATTTGTGTTCAGCAGTTTGATGATCAGGGACAACTGTATCAGCATATGGCCAGGGACCACAACCACACACTGAACGACTGGGTCCCTTCTAGGGACTCTGTTCAGGGCAGTGACCAATGCCGGCACTGCTCCATGCAGTTCGACAGTCGCTCAGGCCTGCGACGTCACATCACTGAGGGTAGATGCGATGCATTTGATCCATTGGCTTCACACAATCCCATGGACAATACCCACAAATGGAGCGCATGGCTGCATAAAGGGGATTTTTCTCCCAATGGCCTCTCAGCACACCAGCGGCTTCAGTTGACTACCACATGTCAGTTTTGTGAGGCCAAGTACATGCGCACAGGCGACGTTGTGGCGCATCTACTCCAATCACATGGACCACTGTGGAACTCATCGCAATCCATGCTGAGGTACCTCCTCCAGGTGGTCATGGCCTCCAGAGGTTGCATCTGTAACCCTCAGGCGCATGAAGTGGGACTTGCTCACATTTGTACACCATTGCGTCAGGTTGCGATGATGATGGTCAACAGTGATGTGCAGCTCTTGGTCCCGACTCAGTTTCATGTGGACACACTGGCACCCATGCTCACGCCATTGCGGGATGAAGCCCTGACACAACAGATGATTGCTTCCCTAGTCTCCAGGGACTTTGCCAAGCTCTGGACTGATGCAACGGTGGTGCAAGCCCTGAAATCCAGATGTATGCAATGTGGAGGCCACTATCCACCGGCAGAGCTACTGCGACATCTCCTGACGGTGCACCCTCAAACATGTGCGTGGGCCACTCAGATTGCCTTCCAACTGCATGACCTGTTGCCAAAGCTGCAGTCGCAAGATTTTCAGTGCACGTTGTGCCAACAAGTTTACAATTTGCCTGCAACTGACAATGATCAGCAGCTACAACAAAGAATGCAAATCCAACGGAGTCATTTTGTCTCAAGCTGCCCGGTGGTCCTCCAGCTTGCCACTCTGCTACAGCCTCTTCATGGACGCTCTGATGGATCCCAACGACCAGGCTCTGATGGAGGGACTTGCAGCCCTTGGCCCTCTCCTATTGGGGTCTCGGAAACAGCAAGAGGGAAGCGTCGAAGAACAGCATCCCAAGCGGCACAAGGCCAAGGCCAGGGACGACCAAGAGCACGACGGGCTCAACAAGGAGGCGATCACAACACTCCTTCGCCTGATGGGACAACTTCTTCTCAGCCACGAGAGGAGCATCCAGCTGAACCAAAGACAGGACTGCTTCGTTTTGTTCTGCCAAAATCGACCGGAGGGCATAATTCCTCATCTGGCGACGTTGGCCAGCAAGTGGCGGGAGGATTTGCCCCAGCAGAAGGACAACATGAGATGGCCCAACCTCAGGACCTACCTGATGAAGGGAGTGATCACAGAACTCCACCGACGGGTCCAACAGCTGGCATCCAGCAAACCAGGCGATCAGCAAAGGCACCATTCACCCGGACGGGAGCTGGAGCTACCAGAAGTGGTCACCAGAGCAGAAGCAGCTGATCAAGGCCTCCCGCAGCCCAGTGGCCATGGCACAGATGCTTCGGAATCTCCAGATCTTGGAGGAGCACTTCCAGAGCAACGCACACGTGGTGCGGTTCCAGAGCCTCAAGAACACCCAGAGCAGCCAGGAAGCAATCCCGTGGATCTTACAGATCTCACATCGAGAAGCCGAAGCCTGGGAACTCATGGTGGAGCTCTGCCACAACACAGTGTGGTCGTTGCTAGGAATGTCGGTCAAACAGCATTCCCAGGTGCTCTCGAAACCGGCCTTGCTCCTTCAACAAGCCATGGGCAAAGGCCACAACCCCCAGGGGAAGAGCCGCGGCCGCGGGAAAGGCAAGACCTCTCAGAGCCCTTAGAAGCTGCAGCCCGACAAAGCTTGCGCGACCGCGCTTTGCAGCTTGCCATGGCCAATCCGGGGAATGACTGCTATGCCAATAGCGCTTTTGTGAGCATGATCTGGGCCACATTATCCAGATCTGCATTCACATTTCAAGATTGGGGCGCACGATCAGCCATCCTACAGCAAACCCTTGAACATGCAGATGGGACCCTTTTCTCACTTGAAAACGCTTCATGGTTTCAGCATTTAATAGAGGGTTGGAATGAGGATGGGGAGCAGGCTGACAGTGCGGAGTTTACACACATGCTATCCAGCTGGACTGCAATGTCGGCCATATCCAACTGCTGGGAGCGCCGAGTGCAAACAGAACAAAGCACTGTGTTGCATGATGCAGGTGACAAGTTCATGCCATTGACACTGCAATTTGACCCTCAACTTGTCGACCATCATGAAATCCAACTGTCAGCGCTGCTTAGGACGTGGCACACCGAGCTTGGTATGCTGGCTGGACTCACGGACCCTGAGGACTTGCTGCTTTTGCATGTGGACCGCATGACTCATGCTCCTGACGGTACGGTTGCCAAATGCCAAGCGGCCCTTCGGTTTGGATGGGAAGTTCAGATCCCGGTCTTGGGGTCCCATACATGCACATGGATGCCATACACCGTGATTGCCTGCATTGCCCATTTGGGAGGTGCCCAGAACGGCCATTACCAGGCCATCCTCCGTACCTATCCAGAAGTCTCGGACCTGGCCAGCCCCTCAATGTGGATGCTTTGTGACGATGGACATTCCCCACAACGCATTTGAATATCCCAGAGATCTTTGCCCAGGGTATCACATGCCTTTGGATGTGCCAGACGAACAAGGCCGACCTCCACAGACTGATGCCAGGCAGGGCTCCCACAGGTATTGCTGACTCAGATCTCCTGGCCCTTTTGGCCACGCAGCCAGATCCGGAACCGTGACATTGAGTGTTTCCACCCATGCACCCAGCTTCCCCAGCTGGCTTGCCCCTCATACCCCTGTTCAAGCCCTCTGAAACCCAGAGTGTACCCCAGTCAGAATGGGCCACGAAAAGAAGCCAAAAAAAAAAAAGGAGGGCCACAAAAAGAAGCCAAAAAAAAAAAAATCTTTCGTCTCACCATGGAATCCAACGTGGCTAACTCCCCTGGTGGGTCGCCCAGCGATTCCGGACATTGAACCCGGATGTCATGTCCGCCACAATAGAGCATTAGTGAAACTCATGTCACGGAAGATCCTTTTGCTGCGCTGCCTTCCAAGCCGCATAGACTCCCTTTGCAGCCAGTTGTGTCACATTCATTCCTGACACTGCACTTGTAGTTTCACATCGGCATTTTGCTAAGGCCTGGCAGGCAACCACTTTTGTTCGATTTGCATGGGCATTTTGCCTGCTGCCGCTGCCTGCGGCACTGCACCCTAGGGACAACTACCTGTTGTCAGGCCATATGAGATGGGCCTCATTGCCATTTTGGCGTTGTTTCACTGCGGCATTTTGCTAAGGCCTAGCCGGCGATCCCCATCGAATTTTGGACGGTGGCATTTTGCCAAAAAAAAAAATCTAGAGATCACGTAAAGTTCCTCTGCCGATGTTTGCCTAGCAGGCGCTTCCGACTTCATTATTGTTTTTGCCAGCGATGACAGGACACTGCCTTGAGACGAACATGGCCCGGCCCTGCCTGGTGCCACCCCCATGCACCCAGTTGCCCAAACTGGTAGATCCCCCTTTCTCCCAGCTTTCATGCCCTCTGAATCCCAGAGCGTACCCCCAGTGCTACAGGGCCACCAAAAGAAGCCCCCCCAAAAAAAAAGAGGGCCACTAAAAGAAGCCCAAAAAAAAACAAACACCAATTTTGTTGCTTTTCAAATAGCGAAGTTTCACAATGCTGTGACCAAAGCGGCCAACTCCCCTGGTGGGTCGTCCAGTGTCACATAGGCCTTGCACTTAGAGACCTGAGGCCAACTCCGTAGCTCTCATAGTCCATCAATAGCTGTCACGCCTTTTTCCCATCAGGCGTGGCAGGCTGCTGCGGTGTACAGGGACAGATTCTCATAACGAGAACCAAATGCAAAATCATTGCGTTTGAAGGGCTAGCGTTGACTCTGACTTCAGAAAAGGAGCGTGGAAAAAAACACACACACACAAGCCCCGAGCGGCTGTCCAGCCGCACTCAAGTGACCAGGCATGAGCGCCTGAAGGAGCCATTTGGGCGGGGGGGTCGTCTTTTTCATTGCCATAGTCGGTGCTTCGTTGCTGGCACCTTACTGGGATTTTTCTGCTTTTTGCTCCATTTGGGATTGTCCCGCAATTTACTTGGCTGCTGACAATGACAGTTATTTGGCTGTGGTTTCTCCTTCTCATTCAGAGAAGTGGTGTGATTTGGCAACTTCCATCAGTCAGCCGACTACAGACTGATCGCAATAGCGTGGGGACTCCCTCCTGGGAACACAAGGCGTATGCAGTCATCAACAGACTTGACGTCCCACAACAGACAGACAGCTATTGCTCAACCTCATTGGCACAATTGGATGCCGGGCCAACCATGGATTTTTTTCACAAGAGGATGCTGCATTTTAATCTTCTCCATGCAGTTGGACCTGCAACCACGCTGCAACCATTCCCACAGCCCGGGACAGATGCAATTGTGCTGCTGCCGGACCTTCTGTTGCAGTGGGAGCACACCAAATCGCCACATGAACAGCTCTGGCTCTTTTCTGACCTTATTTGCAGGGTGGTTCCTGCTTCCGAGCAACTTTACATGGACCTACAGGATGCAATGGAGTTTCAACTTTCACCACAGCCTTTGCCTGAAAGCTACAATTCATCCTTTTTGCAATGGACTCAATGGACCTATGCTGACCTTTTCTGCAGGGTGGTTCCTGTTTTACAATATTTCACTGACCTATTCTGCGGGGTGGTTCCCGAAACAATCCTACAATTTGAGATGAGGCGTATGACAGGACAGATCACAACCTTCATGGTGCCAACGATGCAGCTTTTGGTTGACGCTACAGACCTGATAGGTCCTGATCTCTTCACCCAATGGGATTTTTTGTTCCAAGTTTTTTCTGACCAATTCTGCGGGGTGGTTCCCGATTCAACAATACAGCAATCAAATTTTTATTTTCAATGTGGACAAGGCCAACAGCTGCCAACCCGTGATCATTTTCAGTGCACGCTATTTGCAACATTTGCTTGGCCGCCCCTGAATCACTGCAATAAGACACACAATGCCTCAGACCTGCTCAGCAATGTGTCTTCTCGTGGTACAGTACAGCAATTCTTGCAGTTTTTTCTGACAACAAATTGCCGAGACTTCAATATTCAGATGACACCTTGGTGCAGTCCACAAGTTTTTTGCAGCAAGACACCATTTTATCATCATCGAACCTGTGGTGGTGCACTTGGAACACTTGAGACCTTCTTTGCAAAGTTGCTGGCCTTTTTTCCCTGGTATAATCTTTTGCAGCAAGATACTGCCGAAAGCGATCCCGGGACCTTCCTTGTGCAATCATGTTTGGACCTTGCCAGTAACTTCACGCTGGAAGAGACTCAATGGTTTTCAATACCCATCCTGCACCATCTAACACCAGTGCCTTGTTGGTTTTTTCGAAATGATCATTCGTCTCTGTGCAGAAACAAAGTATTGTACGATATGGTCAACTGTCCCAACAATCATTTACCACCTGGTGTCCAAGTCTTCAGCATGATGATGATGTTCTGTAATTTCTACATACCATACTGTTATGCCAAAACAAATGATGTGCCGCAACACCAAACCATTGTCTCCGAAGCCCAGACTTCTGCAGAGCATCAGTTCTCTGCTGTGTCACCCTCTATCATGTGGATATTGACGACCCTGCCGACTCACGATTGCGTTTTCAGTGTGTTCCGACGTCTGTGCCCTGACAGTCACTTGCCGTGCTACTTCTCCTTGAAGTGTAGCCGTGATCCCGGTCCCAATTCCGGGCGTGCAGACCAACTAGCACTGAAGGGGATACTCCTAAGACTTTTGCCAATGGATGTTCCTTTCCCTAAGCCTTTCAGTAACCTGCACGGGGGTGAGGGTTATGGATTCCAGCCGTGGGAATCCATGGGAGCCAATTTTACTGACCACTCCCTACAGCACCTTTTAGAGGCGAAAATCTACGGCCAACCGCCGATTATGGGCTCCGGCCCGGTGAATCACCCCACAACTATGCAAAACATGACTGCAATTCAAAAAAGAAGTTTCAAAAGAGCATATGCCAGATCCTTGCGTGATGGAGTAGCTTGGTACAAAGGACACTGCATGCAGCCGATCGATTTCCCTGCCACCATGTCGAAACCGCGCCAGCCATGCCCCAGCCGCCGAGCTGGTGTACCGCCTTCCCCATGTGCCCCTATCTCCCGTACCCATAGACTCAACATAGTCCAGTTTAATGTTGGTGGCCTCTCCTCCTATAAGCTTGAAGAAATAAAAGAATGGGGCCTTCACATTAAAGCTGACTTGATTGTGCTGTTGGAATCCCGTTGGAGTTTTACCTCGCAGTGGTCAGATTCAAACTGGCACGCGCTGCACTCGGGGACAAGTGAAGATGCTGCTGATGGAGTTTTGGTGCTCTTCAATGCCCGCAGCATCCAGGCCTCCCAGATCGGTAGCATTGATTTGATACCGGGACGGCTTGTTCATGTCAGGGTGCATTATCGTCAACGGGCCTGCGATCTCATTTGCTGTTACAATTACATGGATGATAGGTCCACCAAAAGGCAAACCCTACGTCAGACTTTTTGGACAGCATTAGATAAATGCATCAGTTCCATTCCCAACAGGAACTCAATGCTGATTGCTGGAGACATGAATTGTTCCCTTGAAGCCGATGCACCGCATGTTGGCACCACTTTCTTCACTTGGCAGGGCAAACACCACCAGGGACCAAAACATAGGGATATGCATATGTTTCAGAAACTGTTGCGCAAACATCAGCTTACAGTTTTGAATGGATGGAATGCAAAGGACGGCCCAACCTTCTGCCACAATTTGACTGCATCACGAATTGATTTCTTTGTCATGCGTACGTCAGAAGCTGATGGTTTGGCTAGGGATGTCAAACAACTCACCAGTGCAGATATCATCCCTTTTTCTGGAGCGACCCATATCCCTTTGATGTGCAGTGTCAAAAAGTTTCACTTTTCTTACCGATCATCCCCAGGATTTTCAGGTTTCACATACTTCCAGCGGCAAAGGTGCAGACTGGACTGGCGCACTGGTGCTCCTCAATGGGACCACATGTTGCAGGCTACTGGACACCTGCTCCAGGACTTGTGCAGCCAGCCTACTCCACCAACAGACCCGGTTCAGGTTTTTCATGAGACCCTTGGGCCGTGCTTTCATGAGTTTTATCCACAGAAGCATCGAGCTCCAAAGTCTGCACAAGATCACCATGCTGCCTTGATCCAAGAAAAATGGTTTTACCACAGACAAGTCATGCAAACCCGTGCGTTGACTCTTCAGGCTCTGTTTCATGTTTGGAAGTGTCGCAGCAGATATGCAGCTCTGAACCGGACGCACAAACAACATACGAAACTCCTGAAGCAGCAACGTTTTTATGACCTTCTGAGTTCTGTGCAACAGGCAGCACAACATCATGACAGCTTTGCAGTGCATCAAATAATTTCCCAGTATACTCCGAAACAGCCCAAACGTCGGATTCAGCTGAGAAATGCAGTTGGTGCCCCTGCCACACCTCATGAAGGGCTTTTGATCACCAAAGAATTTGTGGAGTCCACTTGGGCAGGACCATCACATGTTGACCTAGGTGATCGAGCTCCACCAGGAGTACCCTTTACGATCCAGGACCTTGAACATGAGTTGCATCGCCTGCCACACAACCGCTCAGTGGCGAAGCCATTCTTGCCGGCCATTGTGGTCAAGATGCATGCCTCAACCATTGCATCATGGTTGCACCACCTGTTGACCCATTGGTGGTCCACTGAGACTCCCTTTATCCCGGCCCAGTGGAAACGTGCTTGGGTGACGTTCATACCCAAACCCAACAAGAGTCCAAGCCAGGTCAGCAACTTGAGATGTATAGCGTTACAGGAGCCTTTGGGCAAGTGCGTGCTAGGAGCTCTCACAAAAAAATTGCAGTTGGCGGTTGGTCCCACCCTTCAGCAATGGCCCCAATATGCATTCCTTCCCTTGCGTTCCACAGGTGATGCCATACGTAGGGTTGCTGCCCATTGCAATGAAGTCCGCAGCTTGGTGAAGAATCAACGCAGATCAGCGCATCAGCGTGCAGCCAATGTTGAGTTCTTTTCTTGTTGTGGGGGAATCCAGATTTTTTTGGATATACAACGTGCCTTCGATCAACTTCCCAGGCAAGCCCTTTTCGAGCACCTGGACACACTGCACGACCAATCTGAGCTAACAACACTGATGGCTCACTGGCATTCCCAAACGGATTACTGCATTGAACATTCAGGTGAGACTGCCCTTGTTTCTACAGGATGTGGCGTGCGTCAAGGTTGTCGTGCCGCTCCACTGTTATGGAACAGCTTTTTGGATCAGATGTTTCGCACTCTTGCCCAACAAATCTCTCCTGAGTGGGTCAAACAGACGCTGACAGCATTTGCAGACGACATCCATCAAGGCACAGTTTTTCGATCCAGCCAACAACTGCAGCTTGAAATGACAAGGATTGGACTGCTTCTTGACACGTTGGAAAATATGGGCCTGACCCTATCCCTTGAAAAGTCCTGCATCCTGCTGGAGATTGCCGGCTCCCACTGCCGTAAGATTCGAAATAGGCTTTTGAAATATGAGGGTTCACATGCCTTTATTGACATCCCCCGTGCCAATGGACGCACCAGCCGCATCCCGGTGAAAAGGACTGCTGACTACCTGGGGACCTGTCTCAGTTATGGCAACTATGAACAGCAGACATTTGACAAAAGGGTTCACTGTGCACGCCTCACCTTTCACAGATTGCGTCGATGGCTTTGCACTTCCCAAATTGCTTTGCGTCACCGCCTGTTGCTTTGGAAAGCCTGTGTCCTGTCCACACTCATGTATGGCATTGTTGCAACTGATTTGACTTTCCCTATAATCAAACAATTCCAACAAATCATACTTGGCATGTATCGCAAGCTCACCAGAAATCACAGCTACCGCACGCATGAGACTCACAACACGGTACTGCACAGATACCATTTGGACCACCCGATCCAGCTGCTGCAGCGCCATGTCCAGCAGCTCCAGACCCTCCACAGTCAGCGTGCCCAGCTGATTGGTGATACTGATATCCTAAGGATGTCCAAATGGCACACACTGCCGCAAACCTTGCAAATGCTTTCTGTTGCTCTTGAGGTGCAGACCAATGTATCCCCTGCTGACGACAGCCTGCTTGAGGTGCCCATCACGCTTGCATACGCATGTCCATCATGTTCATTTGTTGCCAGTAGCCTGCCCAACTTGCGTCGACATCAGACCACGGTGCATGGACAACCGCACTTCAGAACATGCCTGGGTCACACAATGTCCTGTTCAGTAGGAGGGTTACCACAATGTGCTTTTTGCTTCCAATCCTTTACCACATGGCGACAGTTTCAAAACCACTTAGATCGACAATGCTGCCAGGTCAGATCTTGTGACAAGAACATGAACCTTGATGCCTTGCTGCGTGAAGAGGAGGAACAGCGCATTTTGCGCATGCACCAGAGCCTCACCGCCGCACTGCACACAAAGCCTTATGGGGATGCCCTGCTCCAGCTGGTGACCAATCATGACTGGAATGGTCTAGCTGACTTGCGGCCAGCTTGTGAGGCGCTCTCAACGCAGTGCTGTGTATGTGATTTTCACTTCAGCCGACCGCAGGACCTCAATAGCCACTTGCGTGTGCACCATCATAAATGGATTAGCCATACGTTCACCAAGGCATCTCAGATATGCAGAGGGTTTGCAAGCAACTTCCCTTGCCGTTACTGCACAAAGAACTTCCGACATGCTCATGCTTGCCCTGTACTTACACATGCTGCCATGTTGTACCTGTATTTGCCTTCTGAAACAGGTCCACCGGAAGTGCCACCAGCCGCTGCCCTGCGTTGCGAGGTTTGTGGACTCAGAGCTGAACACATTGATGATTTGCACAAACATTTGGCTTCAGTACACAGGTTAGCTTTTAATGATTGGCAGCCTGAACGGGACCTCATGGGCAAGGATCCAGCTTGCTCTCACTGTTCCAAGTGTTTCACCAATGTTTCAGCAGTCAGGCAGCATGTGACGCTGGGGCAATGCAGTGAGTTCGACCCTCATCGCTCACCTTTTCTCCTGCCCATAGCCGAGATTTGGACCACAGCCTTGGCGACAGGGGACTTGCAACCAGTTTTGTCTGATCCGATGCTCAGGATGCGCATGACGCTGCACTGTGCCCAATGTGGGGCTGCCTACATGCGATCTGGAGATCTGATTCTCCATCTGCAGACGGCTCACTCAGCCATGTGGGGCCAGGCGCAAGCCCTCACCAGATATCTGATGAAGACATTGATGCCACAACACTCTTGTGTGTGCAATCCCAGTGTTCATAAGGTCACTTTGACCCATGTTTGCCCTTTCTACCGTCAGATGGCTATGCTTGCGGGACGCTCTGCGGTACCCCTGTTCCTGCCGTGGCAATCAGATAGGGAGAGCCTTGCCCTGAGCTTGCACCACAGTCAAACGCATGCAGTTATGGATCGCCTGGTTAAATGCATTCATACAAGACAGCTACGACAGCTCTTGCAAGACAATGCACTTCAGGCCTTTCTCCGGGAACATTGTGTGATATGTGGTGGTATTTTTCACCCTGCCCTGCTGCGCGACCACATCCTGCAAGTCCACTCCTCAAATTTGGACAGAGTCGTTGATCTACTGCCTCTTTTATTTGATGAGTTTCAGAGGGCTTCTCATACGGACTATCAATGCGCACAATGTCATCAGATATTCAACCTGCCAATGCTTGGAGCTTCCAATTTAGCTGAGCAACAATCACGGCAGACACTGGTTCTAGCCCACTTTCAACAGTGCCCCGTCGTTCACCAAGTGAGCCTGCTGCTGACCCATGGACTCTGCCGAGACTCCGTCCATGCCAGGCAGGGAGACGCAGGAGCTTCTGGAAACATTTGCGGCAATGGCCCCACTGCTGTCGAAGGCCACACAGAAGGCAAAAGGAGACGAACGGGATTCCAAGAAGGCCAAAATTCAGCACAAGCCGACAGAAGAGGCTCAACGTCTGGACCTCCAACCAGTGGTCTTGCAGATGGCCAAATTGCTCATCCGGATGGACGCCGATCAGAATCTTCTGAGAAAACAAGACTCCTTCGTCTTTTACATGCAAATGGAGGAGGAATCGGTGATCCACATACTGAGCAAGCAGGCCAAGCAGTGGCACCAAGAGATGACCCAGCAGGAAGGCCAGATGAAAACACAGGAGTGGAAGCCATTGAGAGCGACGCTGATGCAGACGATGGCCGAGACCCTCCAGATGCGCCTCCACAAACCGTACTCCTGCAAGCAGTCGGATCCACTGTTTCAGACAGCAATGCACCACAATCTGGTGAACGACAAGGGAGAGTTCTTCTTCCAGAAATGGGATGCCTCCAGCCAGAAATTGGTGCAAACCAGCCAAGCACCAGTGGGCATGGACAGGATGAAACGCTACGTGGATCAGCTGGTGGAGACCCTTCAGGACCCGGCCAATGTGGTGAAATTCCACGCCTTGAAGGCGTCAGGGGATCAGAGGGTCACTCCTTGGATTCTCCAAGTGGCTCTTCGTTGCGACGAACTTCAGACTCTTTTGGAACAGCTGATGGGATGCAAGGTATGGAACCTCTTGGGGGCCACCCTCAAGGCCCATTCTCTTCCGCAGAGCAGCCAGGCGGAACACCTGAAGTCCCTGATCGGCAAAGGGAAGAGCGCTGGGAAGGGCAAAGCTCATCGCCGATGATGCCGATGTCAGATGAACACAGACATGCACTGCTGCTTGCAATTGGCACCCTGGCACTTCTCAATGCCGGGAACCCCTTTGGGCTGTGGTGAGCCGGACCAATTTTCGACTTGCTGACCTGGGGCCACATGCCACCCTGATTGCAGATAGTTTGTTGACGCGCCATGGACACCCCATGCAATTGGTCACCCAACCATGGTTTGCAGATGTCATCCAAAACTGGCATAATCATAACAATCAGGGTGATCCAGTGGAGTTCATGACACATGTGCTGGGGAGACTGCAACTTGGTGGCTTCAACATGAAGTGGGAACGCCGGGTGCAGATACACGATGTTGTCCGTCTCATGGACCAAAGTGACGCTGTGCGACCGCTGACAGTTCAGTTTGATGCAGTTGATTCTAATGCAATTCAACATGGTTACACTGCACTTCAGACAATGCTGGATTCATGGGCGGGACAGTATGGCATGCAGACTGCATTGGTTGCTCCCTCCCCACTTGTGTGCATTCATGTTGATCGTTTCATACACCAAGGCACCACGGCTGTGACGAAATGTGAGAGGCCTATTCATTTTCGAGGAAGCCTCAATATCCCAGTCTTTGACAATGAGGGTTTGCAGGTCCATCAGAAAGGGTATCAAATGATCTCAGCAGTTGCGCACCTAGGCACAGATGGATCAGGACACTGCCGCAGCATCCTGAAGACGTGGCCTTTGCTTGCCCCTGAACCTGTCAATTTCCTTCTTACAGATGATGGCAGGTCTCCTGAATGCATATGGACAGAACCCTCCTGGTTCACCCGCAATGTGTCCTGCTTCTGGTATTGCGACTGCGACTGCCTTGATTTGATCAAATGGCCCATGCCAGACCCAGCTCATGCAAATGATTCCGATACCTCGTCCATGACAGAGGATGCTCAGGATGATGTGCCCTTGCAGAAGCTTTTCAAAGCCATGTCCAAAACCTGATTGCCAAGCCGCCCATATGTGACACCTGATGGCATTTTGCCCGTTTTTATATTTGTTGCTGCTGCTCTGCCACGTTTCACTCCCTTAAGCCCTCACGACCGGTGAGTGACCCCCAGCATAAGCATTTAAAAAAAAAATGGGGGAGGCTGGTCCAAGAGGCAAATGCCCAACGTATCACGAAGGCCAGGGTTAAAAAAAAAAGTGCTGGTCCAAGAGGCAATGACCCAACGTTTCAAGAAGGCCAGGGTAAAAAAAAAAGAAAAAAAAAGCATGACTCTCCGAGCATGAATTCAATTGCACGTCTTTGTAGCTGTGGCAGAGCAGCGTCTCACTGCAGTCATCCTGTCATTTCGATGACTTTTTCCTTGGAAGTTTTTGTCCATAGTGGACCGCTTCCATTTGGCGTTTTTCACCAAGACCTCCATGCTGGAGGCCAACATGCTTCTATCATGTTGAGGCGCGCACGGAGCTTTTCCCAGAAAAGGAGTGTTGGAAAAAAAACACACACACAAACAAGCCCCTTTGCAGTCGCGAGTACTGCACGCAAGTCAGTTCAGTCTGACTAGGTGAAGCCTGGTAAAATCCTGGCCTGCAGCCATTGCCCCACGTCGCTCATTGGTACTTGTTCGCTGACACGGCGTGCAAACTCCCTGCCGGAGTGTGGTGGCTGGTTGCACTGGCCCTGCTTCCAGTGCGTTGCTGTGGCCTGGCGCTGCTGCTGCGCTTGGTGGCTCTTCGTCTTCCTCCCATTGTGCTGTTCTACCTGAACCCTTTTGACTTTGACCTGACGATCGGGCTTAGCACTTTGGATCAGGGGTGGGCTCCCTTCTTTGGATTTTTCACTGGCCCTGTTGCTCATTGGATTTTTCTCTGGTTGAATATATTATTTTTGAGTGAGTGGATCACTCCTGCTGGCCAACGCGCCCTTGAGTGGGTCCTCTCCTGGCTACAATATTCTTCATCCAGCGGACCTTTGATGCCATCCAGGTATTTCAGGCATTCCCAACAGACTTCGATCTCTGACTCAGTACTTGCAACTGCACCTCGGTCCCAAGTCCGAGCATCGTGTATGACCATTTTGCTGTTGGTTCTTTTTGCTTTGACATTGACCATAGATTACGGTTGTATCAACACGATGTGGGGTGAGGGTTGTACCACATCCATGGGTGGTATGAGAGCAGATGGTTCCTTTGCCTCTGCGAAACTACATGGACTGGAGCCAAAAGCGGTCTCCGGACCAAACTATGCCAAACCCACTGCCAAAAGAAGCTTCCGCAGAGCTCAGCGACGTGCAGAGCTACATGGGTATACATGGTACCGAGGGAAGTTGTTCACCAATCCAATGACCTCTACATGTTCATCTCAACCACAGATCTCTCAGGCATCTCCTGGCACTCAACTGGATCCACCGAAACGGGTGATGCGCAAGCGACTTCTTGCGATGACCTGGAATGCAGGAGGCCTGGCACCAGCCACATGGGACATGTTTCAACAATGGTTGGATGGACAAAATATTGACTTCATTGCAATTCAAGAAACCCATTGGCCGTTTACATCAGAATGGTCACAAACACGATATCACTGCATTCACAGCGGACTCTCAGGCAAACAAGGTGGTGTTCTTTGCATGCTCTCAAAGAGATTTTGTCAGGCCCATCAGATCTCCTGGGATGAAGTTGACAGGGGACGCATTTTGCACATCAGAGTTCATGGACAGACAAGAGGGCATGATTTTGTGAACTTATATCAGCATGTTTATTCAACCAACAATCTTGACCATCGTCAACGACTTTTGGATAAACTCAACGATGTACTCACACGCATTCCTCAACGCAATTTGGTAACTTTGCTTGGTGATTTCAACACTTCCATGCGACACAGATCCAACGTCGTCGGTGTGGGCACCTTCAATCACGAGGGCATCAATCGCACAGGCACAATACATGATGATGCACATGAACTACATGATTTGCTGCGACAACACTCCTTATTGGCTTTGAATACCTGGTCACATTGCAATCCAGCCACATTTGTACATGATTCCGTTGCCTCTAGGCTGGACTACATCTGTTGCAAACGTGTACATGCTGATCAGACATCCAAGGAGGTCAAAGCATTGCCAGAGTTTTTCATGCGCAGTGCCACAGGGGCACATCATTTGCCACTGCTGACATCCCTCATCAGGACATGGATTCCCACAACCAAGACCGGCAACACTGCGTGGAGCCATCGACAGAGGCTGGAACTATATACACGCTGGAAACACCAAGATCAACCAATACTTACACTACAACAACAAGTCCGATCAGATGTTGCCAACCTTTCAGATGATTTGGATCCGTTGCAGTCACTTCACAAGGCTATGAACAACATCTCACCTATGGATTTCAATGCCAAACTTCCTGAACCCGTTTTTCAATTTGATCTCACACCTTTTCAGGCCTTCAAATATCATGAACAACAACTTCGACAACTTGCTGGTGATTCTCAAATTCGAACTTGCATACAGGCTTGGTTTCATGTTTGCAAGCGCCAACGTGCACGAACTTTGATGAATGCCACTTCCAAAACTGCCAGAAGAGCCAAATTGCAGCGTGTTTTTGAACAGGCATCAGAAGCTGAACGTGCTCATGATCATTTTCGACTTTACCAGGCGGTGAGAACACTTGCTCCAAAACAAAGCAATCATCGCATTCAACTTCGAAATTCTGATGGCACAATTGCTACTCCTTCTCAGGAAGCTGACATGCTTCAACGATGTCTTCAAGATCTCTATCATGCCGACAAGGTGGTTCATTCACCAACATCATTTCAATGGCCATTTACAACGGCAGACATGATGAACGGTTTTTTGAAATTGCCATTGATGAAATCACTTGCACCATCATATGCACCTGCACCAGTTTGGCATATGGCTGCACCTGAGATTGCAGACTTTCTGCACCCACACCTCACACATCTCAGTGCTGTGGGCCGCTTGCCACAGGAATGGAGTGACGGAAGCCTCACATTCTTACCAAAGCCTGGACGACAAGGCAAGGCACCTTCTGACTTGCGCCCCATCGCGCTGTTAGAGCCTACTGGCAAGGTTGTTCTTGGACTTGCTGCCTCCCAACTGCTGCAGGAGACCTGGTGGATGCTGAGAATGATCCCACAATTTGCATACGTTCCTGACAGAGGAGTTGCTGACGCCATCAACAGATTGATGCACCATACCTCACAGGTCAGAACATTGCTTCAGCAATTTCAATATCCATATCATCGTGCTGCGTCAGGACATTCTGCCCCTGACTTGATGGGTGGCCTAACCATCAGCCTTGATTTGTCCAAGGCATTTGATCAAGTGCGTAGGGACCTTCTTTTCAAGGGTCTTGAAGATCTGCAGATTTCCCCTGATTTACAACATTTGTTGCAATCCATTTACCATCACACGCACTTTGAGTTCACTTACAAGGGAGAGTATCGACAATTTGAGACGCTGAAAGGGATCAGACAAGGTTGCAAATGTGCTCCCATTTTATGGGCATTGTACTTTGTTCAGATCTTCGTAGCTCTTCATGAATACAGTCCATGGCAGTGGCTTCAACGTTGCCTCACTGCCTTTGCAGATGACATCTGCCAACATGATATCTTTCACAGTCAAGATGATTTCATCGTTTTGCTGAGACGTGCTGGGCATCTCATGGACTGTTTGGAACATGCCGGACTCCCCATCAATGTGGACAAAACAGTGGCGTTGTGCAGAATGAATGGACGCAAGTTGCAACAAACACACAAACGTTTCTTTCTCAAGAACAGCAGAGGAACCTTTTTGAAAATCCCCAGAGGTGATGGATCCACTACTTTGATTCAACTTGTGAACAACCACACGTATTTGGGAGTGAAACTGTCGTATTTCAACCCTGAGAAACTGACCATGACACACAGACTTCAAGCTGGCACCAGAACACAACAACTGTTGCACAAGTGGCTCCATTTGAAACGTGGCCTCAATCCCAGACAAAGAGTCAAAATTTGGCAGCAGTGTGTCTACACCAGCAGTGTTCATGGACTCATACATACAGGATTTGAGGTGGCACATGCATTGCAATTTCATCGCACATGCCTCAGACAACTGCGAAG